CCACCCCACCCGTGGCTGTGTGACCCTTGGCAAGCTGAGCCCTCGCACTTCAGTTTCCTCGTCTCTAAATAGGAAGATGGTAACGCCAACTTCATGGGGTTCTTGTTACAATCAAATAGGATAATGCGGGTAAAGTATGTAGCGCACGAGTGACACACAGTAGGTGCACAATAAATACTTGTTGCTTACAAGTAGATACAGTAGCATGCAAGTAGTCAGAGTGTCCGATCAATTGTGAGTTGTCCCAGGTGGCTACCGACTAAAACTTTTGAGAAGGAGAAGGGCCTGAGGAGAAACGAGGGAGGGGGGGAGTGATGAGAGATGAGCTACCTGCAGACCCTAACCTAAGATGAACGACCCTTGTGCCACGCCAAGGAATCTGAGTTCTTATTTTGTGGCAGTGAGGCGTCATTAAAGGCTTTAAACAAGAAGAGTGGCACCCTAAGAGCTGTGTTTTAGAAATACAAGGGGCAGTGTAGAGAATGGACTGGAGATGAGAGAGACAGGCATGAGGCTGTGGTAGGGCAGAGCTGATACAGGATGAGGACCAGAACGAGGGTGGGGATGCGCTCGGAAGCCTTAAGAACTGCACACCTGCAGCAGAACTCGCAAACCAAGTGCATGCGCTGGCTGAGAGGGAGGGATTCAAAGGGTAACAGCTTCACTTTTTCATCTTAAAATGCAGAGTCATTTTGAGAAATATATGAACAGTATGTATAAAATCCTTACAACTATGCTTGACACATGGAAAACATGGGGAAAAAAAAGCTACTCTCTTCGCATTTGTATTTCCCCCTGTAAACAGCGTTTGTGTTTATGCAACAATCTCTGTTCATCTTAACACGAGCAGCTCTGGCACACTGCTCAAGTGGAGTGTTTGCGCTTGTGAGAGTGAGGACTGGGCCTGAACTCTAGTGAGCGAATGCAAGTAATGTCACCTCGGGGAGCCTTCGTCTGGCTTCCAGATAACCTTCTAGCAGCACAGCACCGCGGGACAACACTGAGGCAGCGGGACGCTTAGCGTGGAAAGCGAGGGGCTTGGAACATCCGTGGGTGTTTTCACGTGAAGAGCTGCAACAGAGAGAAGACGAGACAACCTGTTGTGTCACCCTTCCCCCCTTAAAAACCCTTCATTGGCTTTCAGTTTACATAGAGATTCGTCCTCGATTCCTTAGCAAAGCTTAGATCTGCCCCCTGCCTCCCCTTCAGGGCCCCTTTCGCTGTCCTGCTCTAGCCGCAGACTCCTTTCCGGCCTTTGCGGGCACAACCCTCCCTCTCGAGTCCCCTCTGCCTAGTCTCCCTCCCACTCTGCCCGGCCACGCGTCTCAAACACCTCTCCTTGCTGCACAGGCCCACAACGCCCTCTTCCTCCCTTTTTGTAGCACTCATGTATTTAGTTGCCTATTTCATATCTATCTTTCGAAACAACAAGCTCCACAAAGTTAGGGATCCGTCTTGCTAATTCAGTGCTATGATTTAGTGCCTAACGTAAGACTCGACACACAGTAGGTGCCCTCAAGAAACATTTGTAAGTTGAAATTGCTGAGTAACGCCAGGGTAATTCCATGGCGGGAAGAGGCAGAGGCAGAGGGTTCATTTGAACGGTGGAACATTTAGGGCAAAGACGGACTTGGGTGGTGCTTCACTGCGGCCCCCGGGAGACCAGAGGGCACCCCGGTGACAGGTTCGCCCGGAGAAAGGGAGTCTCTGACTAGGGTTTGCTGCTCTGCAGAGGTCTCTGATGGCGGCTGTAACCTCCTGCTGCTGATGTCATCTGGGACACTAAGCAAAAATACGATTACCATCAACACACCTGGTGTTTGGTGCCTGTGGAATTTGTTAGGAGAAAGAACTGTTAATGATTTCTATTTCAGAGCATTGTCCCTTTCCCTGTCTCAGTTTTGCGCTTACAGGGGAAATGAAGGAGCCCGATGACCAGGATGCCGATGGGGGGAAATCAGATAGGTCAAAGAGCAGTGCAGATCCGTCTCAGGGGTCCTCGCAAACTACATCAAGATGTAAGTAGACGTTATACTATACATTTGTTTTTTTTATTATTAAATTTAGCTAAAATAATGTTTAGAGAGTACATACCTAAGTTTATACAGCGGAAATGGTTTACTTGCTTAACTCCCTTACTAAACTCTTACATCCTCGAGGAGCAGAGTCCGTTTTAATCATTTTATCTCCAACACCTGGCACATTGACAACTCTGTGTTGATAATGACCCACCTGCACATCGGGCCTTGTTCCCTCCTGTGAGGTCTACAAGGCCTTTGGTGGACGTTTCTAACGCAGTGTGGTGGGAAGAGAGCTGGACTTTGGTTTTGAGTCCTGAGTCTGCCACTTAGAGATGCTTGATCTTGGGTAAATGTTAGAACCTCAGTGTTCTCATCATTAAAATGATCATTGTGAGCTGTTTCAAAATTAAATTGGGTAACATGTGGGAGGATATCATAGACTGCAAATAGAAGGGAAGGAGAAGAATTTTGTGAGGGTTTTTAAAAGATGGCTGGCTCTTTCTGAGTGGGCACCGTGATGTTACGTATCTTAGTAGAATCTTGACATTTTTTGTTGTAATCCTAAATAAAGTTTCAGGAATTAATTTTGACTGTTCACCTAGAGGAGATCCATCCCTGGGGAAATCAACTCATCTGCAGAATTTACATTAAAGCCTTTCAATCATGTCTCGTAAATTCATTATTTCTCCATACCGTGTTTTATTTGAGATGTCTATCTCCTCTTGCTTGGATTCTTACAGCAGGGATTTCCACTCAAGTCTTCCTGTTCAAGTCTCCCTCAGTGCCACCACTAATTTCTTTCTAGGAAATTAGATTATTTCACTCTCCTCAAAAACTTTAGTTTGCTTCTCCCTTGTTTTTGTTTTTGTTTTTAAATATATCTTTATTCATTTCAGAGAGAGGAAAGGAGAGGGAGAGAGAGAGATAGAAACATCAATGATGAGAGAATCATTGATCGAGCCCACAACCCGGGCATGTGCCCTGACTGGGAATCGAACCCCGATCGCCTGGATCCTAGGTCGACGCTCAACCGCTGAGCCATGCCCTGCCGGGCTCTCTTGTTTTTTATTTTCCACTTTTCTCCACTCCATACATTTCTGACACAGAAAGGTCTGCTTTTTGGTTTCCAGTCCTTTGCAGCATTTTCCTGGATGGCTGGATTGAGTGATAATGACCGTTTGTCTGTCACTGCCTCAGCATCTCCCTTTCCTGTGTGAGACCCTCTTAGAGGCAGGCCTTATCAAGTGGGCCTGGCCCTGTGCTCAGCTCATAAAACAGTTTACACATCATGGGTTTTTGGATCCAAAATGATAAAGTGAAAGAATTTGCTCGCACCTGGGAACCCTCTACCTTGGTGCTGTTAGAAGAGGTCTCACTGCCAGGCCGGTGTGGCTCGGTGGTTGAGCGTCGACCCATGCACTGAGGTTGCCAGTTCGATTCCCAGTCAGGGCTGTTTCTATTTCTCTCTCCCTCTCCCCCCCTCTCTCTCTAAAAATCAATAAAAACATTTTTTTTTTTTTTAAAAAAGAGGTCTCTGTCCAGATTCAGCCTCATACCTGATAGCTGTCTCCCTCAACCCCTGGAGACCTTGCCCTGTTTTCAGTCTTGCTGAAATATCTGAGCAACTCCTTGCCCTTTAGGATTCTCATGCAGAGTGCATTCCTGGGTTTCCACTTCAGCATAGATTAGAACAGACTCTTCCCCAGACTCAACAATGGGTTGATGGTTTGGTACCAGCCAAACCATCCAGCATTTCTTATAAGGGTGGAGGGACCATTAGTTACTAAGACTTGAATTTCTGATTCTTATTAAAGGACTAAATTTTTACTGCCTCATATAGTAAATTGGGAAGTATTTTGGTCTCTTCTATTTTTAGAAATATTTTGTGTAAAATTGGTATTAATCCTTCCTTAAATGTTTGGTAGATTTTACCAGTAAAGTATCTGGGCCTATAATTTTCTTAGTGGGAAAATACTAAACTATGAATTCAATTTCTGTAATAAATAGAGGATTGACTATTTGTTTAGTAAGTGATGTAAGTTTGTATCTTTTATAGAATTTATATATCTTTTCTAAATTGTAAAATTTGTTGGCATAGCTCTGTAGAATTTATTTTTATTCCTGATATTGGAGATTTGTATTGCCTCTTATTTCTTGATTGGTCTAGCTAGGCGTTTATCTACTTTGTTGATGTTTTTAAAGAATAAGATTTGGGTTTTGCTAATTTTTTTTATGGTTTGGCTTTTTATTCCATTAATTCTTGCTCTCATTTTCATTATTTTTATTATTTCCTTCATTATACTTTTTCCCCCCCTTTTCTTTCTAGGGTAGAACTTTAGGTCATTAATTCTTGATGTTTCTTCTTTTCTTACATGTACTGAAAGCTATAAATTTCCCTCTTAGCACTACCTTAGCTACACTTCACACATTTTGATATATTTTAATTATTATTTAGTTGGAAGTATTTTTAATTTTTTGTTGATTTCTCCTTGACCTATAAGTTATTTTTAAGTATGCTATTTAATTTCCAAATATTTGTAGGTTTTTCAGATAACTTACTGTAATTTATGTTTAATATACTTCTCTTATGATCAGAAAATACACATATTCTGTGTTATTTTAATCCTTTTAAATCTATTGAAACTCATGTCCCAGTAAGTGATCTATCTTGTTGAATGGCCCATGTACACTCAAATGTGTACCTTATATTGGTAGATGTAGTGTTTTATAAATATCAGGCCAGCATGTTTCATAGTGGTGTTCAGGTCATCTATGTCTTTACTGAATTATTGACTAGTTTTTATATTGATAAAAGACTTGTATGTAGCTCGGTGTGGCTCGGTGGGTTGGAGCATTGTCCCATACACTGAAGGGTGGTGGGTTCAATTCCTGGTCGGGGCACATACCTAGGTTGTGGGTTCGATCTCCAGTCGGAGCTTGCGCGGGAGGCAACCTATCGATGTTTTTTCCCCTCTCTCTTTCCCTTCCTCTCTAGAATCAATATAAGAACAAACAAGACATATATGTATTATAATAATAAATAAGTAAACTGTGAAAACTTGTGGATATATATATAATTCCTGAAACAACTATATATTAATAAATGCTGATAAAACTGAATTGAATCAACNTGTATTATAATAATAAATAAGTAAACTGTGAAAACTTGTGGATATATATAATTCCTGAGACAACTATATATTAATAAATGCTGATAAAACTGAATTGAATCAATGATAGCCCACTAACCAATCTTTTAAAAAATCTTTTACTTTCTTGTAAGTATGCTATGATAGGAAATAGACTGGAAATGAAGTGAAAATGGAAATTAACTCACAGGAAAGGCTTTTTTTTTTTAAGTTACAAGAATGACCAAATAAAATTATTTTTCTAGGAGGTGTTGAATATTAAAATTTGTTCGCTTTAGAGCACAAAGTGGAAGTAGTAGCCACGTTGGAAATAAGAAAATGTTTAATTCAAAATTTAGAAATTATTTAAACAAATTATTTTTAAAAGCAGCTATCAAAGTGGCGGACACAGACGAAACCCTTACTGAAGGGGAAGAATCCTATTTAGAGGATGATGATTCCTATGAGGAAGATTTGGAAGGAAGTTACAGTTCCTTTCAAGATGATGCTTACGGTAGAGGTAAGTATTATTAGTTTTCTATCAGTAATTGTCACTGTTTTAAAGATAAATTGCCCAAACTGAACTGTTGTGAATCCATAGGAAGAAAAACCTGCAGGATGTTGTGAGAGTGGTAAAAGGAAGAGTGTGGACCGTACACAGTGCGGTGGTTCAGTGGCTCTGGGGCAGTTTCCTCCGTTTCTGAGGCGCGTACAGAGCTCTCAAGCTGTCTCCTGGGGAGTGGGGTGGTGTGACCAGGCCTCTACCCTAGGTTAGCGACAGTCACTCTCCCGTGCAGCTGATTGCGGCTGCGCTTTGGGACTGCAGAGCCAAGACCCAGGCTCAGCGCACACAGTGCACACAGGCCTGTTGGCTCTTCCTCCCGTCTCACTGGTGGGTGCAGCCTGTGTTTGGGCAGTGGTGGTACTTAACTGCTAGAGTATTGCAGGCTGGGATTCACCAGACACTCTTCTTAGCTAAAATATTTTAATTTTTTAGACCCTAGGTATATGGAAATCCATGGCTCAGCTGCAGAAGAGAGAGAGGAGGAAGTTAAGAGGAGAATATCAGAGAACTTCTATTACGATTATTTGGAGTTGGCTTCCATACCTTATGTGTCTCTGGGTTCGAACATACCACTGGATCTTCTCACGCTTGTGTATCCACTCCAGTTACATATGAATAATATTGGCATTTCTGCTCCTTAGGTCAGGGGTCTGCAGACTACAGCCCATGGGCCAAATCTGGCCTCCTGCCTGTTTTCCTAAATAAAGTTTTATTGGAACATAGCCACACTCATTCATTTACATTCTGTCTATGGCTCCCATCACACCGTAAGGGCAGAATTAAATGGTTACAGCAGAGCCCATCTGGCCCACAAAGCCTAAAGTATTTTCTACCTGGCCCTTTACAGAAAAAGTTTGTCAATCCCTATCTTAGGTACCTTTTAAGAAGCTTGGCCCTTAAGGAAGTTGAGATAGAAATGCATGATCTTAATTTAAACTAAGCTTTTGTTTGATGCCAAGTAACCGTAAAGAGAAATGGTGCTTTTCTGGCTGTCCCTTCGTGAGACATCAGGTGAAGGGGAGCAGAAGGCCCTTATCCCTGTTTGCCTCTTCTACCAGCTTGGCATCCCTTTTTCGATGCCTGTCAAGTTAAAATCATTGAGTTCCTTTCCTGAAGCACTGACATGGTCATCGTCAGGCATTAGGGCTTTCACGTTATTCATCAGATGAGTTTTCCAAGAAGACAACCCTGAAAAAGTGGGGCACAAAATAACAAGTTTTAATTGGTTTGGGTCACAAGAGTCTGTGAAGAAATGTAAGGGTGGGGATGACTGAAAAGGGGGTTTGGTGTTTGCCGTCTCTTTATGGTGTTAGGAGACGATTTCCATTAAGGCCCTTGGCTATCAATTTAGGACGCTTACCTTCAGAAGGGCCATGTTCTGACCACCTGGCCACCGGCTGGCCTCTTATGAAAGGTGTGCTTATGGAGGTAAGGTGGTGCGCTTCCTGACCCAGCTGTGCTTTTTATGCAGAAATAGAACACGTTGTTATAGTTTCTAGCTCTGTTTTGATCCCAGGTGTAACTAAAACTAATTCACCTTGAGTCTTGTTACCTGGAGTTTTCTCTTGAGTGCTTGTTTTTCTTTTTTTTGTTTGTTTAGTTTTTGTCTTTGGACAAGTTACTGACAAAAGTTATGCTCTTAGCTTTCTTCTGGCCTATTTTTTCAAATGGGTTGGTAAACTTTCCGAAATACACGTGTTCTGATAACTTCCTGTGCAGAGGGCCTTGGGCTTATGCACTTTGACAAAGCTTCCCATGTGGTATCCCTAAGAAATTTAGAATATTATCTAAATCAGAGTTGGAGGATTTTCCACATAATTAAAGAACAAAATTGTAAAAATTCTGAGTTTCTGAGTAAAATTCAGCTACTTCAACCCTGAATCTTTACCCAAGAGTATGGGTTTTAAAAATATATTTATTTCACGTTACTTTTCCTGTCTCTAGGATGGTTACGTTGTTTCACTTCCTTTCCTTAGCAATTTTTCCTCAGACATTCCTTTGGTTATGACTGCAAAAAGCGGGCCAACCTGCAACTCCTGGACGGCAGTACCATCATGTACATAGCTGGGAACCAGCTGATCCTTGTGAATTTGAAAACCAAGGAACAGATCTACCTGCGAAGTAGCGGTGGTACAGGCATTGGTGTCATTGGGGTATGCCTTTAGTAACTTAGAGAAAAAAATCCATCTTCTTAGATTGTTTGCTCTGGGGAGCAGCCAGGGAGGTGCTGACGCCCTGCGCAGCACTGTGGGGTCACGGGAGGTGCGCGGAGTCTTTATTCCAAGGTATCCTCAGTTCAGTGAGTCCAGTCGCAGCATTCACTGGCATTACCCCTGTGCAGTGTGGCGTCTTATATTAATAGTATCACCCCATTTTTCAGAGGAGGAACCTGGGGCTTATGGAAGTTAAGTGACCTCTGCACTTTCGTGCAGGCTTTTCACGTTAGCTCACTCTGTTGCTGTTCTGTGAAAATAGGGAAATGAGTAGTACAAGTGATAATTCAAATAACAAACAGAGACAAACGCCAGATAAGACGTAAGTATCTAATTGAACATTTGGAGATGAAGTATGGACGTAGCTTCAGTGGTTTCAAGCAGAGACGGGAGGGTTTGTGTGTGATTTGGGGCCCGCCTCTTTCCGCTCAGCTGTCTGTCACCATCAGTCCTCTTTGCTGCATCATCAGCCTCTGCTCCCGAGGCCCCTCACCCTCAGCATGAAAGCATTCCAGGGCCACTAGTCCTCACTTTGCAAGGCCCCCCTCTTCCCGCGCATTCTCTTTGCCCGCTTTGTTTTGGTCTTTTCTTGAAAGACCAACTTCTGCTGTCTGGTTTGCCATCACCTGAGGGAAGCTGCCTTCGCCGGGGGCGCGATGGCCCTCGGGTGGACCGGGCTGGAGAACACCTTTCTGACTGTACCTTACCTGACCTCTTCGTAGCAGCGGGCCCCCCATGAGGAAACCTTTCCCTTGGTCGCTTTTCTACTCTGTGCTCCTTAGAAGTAGGTGTCCCTACCTGCTCTCATCAGTAACAAACAGCCCGAGGGGCGCTTCTTGGTGTCCTTCGCCTCTTGGGAGGGGCGCCTGTTCAGGTTATGCTGTGTGAGACAGTGAGGAAACGGACAGGGTTTCGGGCTCGTACAAACAGCACTTCTAAATGAGATGCTCAAGAGGGTTTCTAGAAAGACTGCGATCCAAATACCATCTGCCCTGCCCTTGCCCTGCCTGCCAGGGGTGAGTGGACCAGATGGAACTGGAAGGTGCTGGGCCCACTTTACAGCACCTGCTGGGGCAGAGAGCGGGCTCCCAGCAGGAGGGGCTGAGGCTGGGCCGAGCCAGCAGGGAGGAGATGAGACCCCATAGGACATGTGGGTTATAAGTGGATGTGAGTGCAGAGCTTTAGAAGATTCTTTTTAAAAAATACATATTTTTAATTTTTAAATTACCATTGATGTACAATATTATATTAGTTTCAGGTATACAACCCTGTGATTAGACATTTATATAACTTACTAAGCGATCACTCTGATCTAGTACCTGTCTGACATTATCCATAGTTATTACAATATTACTGACTATATTCCCTGTGCTGTACTTCACATCCCCATGACTACTCTGTAACTGCCAATCTGTACTTCTCAATCCCTTCACCTTTTTCACCCAGACCCCCAACCCCCTTCCCATTGACCTGAGGAGTCAGTGCCATGACCAGGGACATGGCAGTGGGAATGGAGAAGGTGAGGAAAACCCGAGGCCCACAAATAGAACAAATAAGCTATCTTTCATAAAAGATGGGGTGAATCTATATGTCTATGTAAATAACTGATTTACTAGTTTCGGGTCTCCACTAAAAATGAAGCAGAACAGCAAAACCCAACCCCACAGTAGCTTCCTANCCCCAACCCCTTTCCCATTGACCTGAGGAGTCAGTGCCATGACCAGGGACATGGCAGTGGGAATGGAGAAGGTGAGGAAAACCCGAGGCCCACAAATAGAACAAATAAGCTATCTTTCATAAAAGATGGGGTGAATCTATATGTCTATGTAAATAACTGATTTACTAGTTTCGGGTCTCCACTAAAAATGAAGCAGAACAGCAAAACCCAACCCCACAGTAGCTTCCTACCTGAAAGGGCAGAAACTTTTTCAGTTTCTGTAGATAAGACCCAGAAGGGTAAAAGACATACCTGGATCCCCATTCTGATTTCTGAGACCACATATTCTACATGATATTTATTTGTAAGTGGGAATCAAGGAAGATATAATCTAAACCCACATCTTCCTAAGTCCTTGGAATCTACCATTTTGTTGTTGTTCCACTTGCTGCTTGGCTCCTACATCTGGCTTCAATCCTGTCTCTCATGTTTACGAGCTATAAAACTTCAAGCAAGTTACTTAATCTCTCCGTGCCTCAGTTTCCTCATCAATAACATTGGAATGATAATGGTATCTAAGCTCACAAGGTTAAGGTGAAATTTAAGGACATTAACCCATATAAGACAGATGAGTGTCTGGCACGTAGTAAGCCCTCGATAAATGTTAGTAGTTTTCAGTGTTAGAATTATTCTACCGAGTGTCCATCCTATAAACAAGCCTTGCTTCAAGCTGAAGTGATAGGAATTTCCTTGAATGGAAGAAGCAACTTGCCAGCAGGAAGACAGCCTATCTGAGGTGTTATCACCCATGTGTGGAGGAAAGAAAAAGAGCTGCAACATCATCCTGGGTACCAGAGCCTCCAGGGCGGCCTGTATCAGGCCGAGCTGCTGGTCTCTGGGCACATAATCAGGAGTGGCAAGACAGTAACTGAAAATAGAAATGTATAAGGGCAGCTTATTCTTATAACAACCTATTTTTATTTTTATTTTTTTGGCTACCCATTACTCCTCCTGCACATTGGCTTCCCCATGAACAAACGTAACAGAAATGAGCATATGATTCTCTCCCATTTGTATGGCTATCATCTGAAATGCTGGCACAAATAATTTATCCAGGGCATGTTCACTATATTTTCCTCTGTGTCTGGCTTGGAAATATTGTGACTTACTCACTTCTAATAAGTTTACATTCATCTGTGGTAAGTTTGGCCAAGGCAAAAATTTTAAAAGTTGGAAAGTAAACTATTCTGGAAACATGCTTTAGGTTGATTTATATGAAGGGTAAGCGATTCATCTCAATTAGTGGTTCTCAAAGAGTGGTTTTCAGACCGCAGCATCAACATCACCTGGGAACATGTTAGAAACGTAAATCCACATTCTTGGGTCCCAGCCCTGATTTACTGAATCAGAAACGCTGGTGGTGGGGCTTGCAATCTGCGATTTCATAAGCCTTCCCTGGGGTTCCGATGCACTCTAAAGATTGAGAAGCACTGTTCTAGCTCTTTTGAAAACAACTTGGAAGTTTTTAGAGTTGAATCTTTCTCTGTTAATGAAAGTAAAACTTAAAATGAGTCTTCTAGTTCTCAGTTAAATCAGATCTGTCATCGAGTATTTATCTATTAGAGTGGATCCTAATAAACAAATTATGAAATAACAGTTGCTAAACACTGCATTACTAGGACTATTTATATGAAAATTTTTGTTTTATTATTTTAGTGAGATTTTATTTTTTGTAGGTTCACCCTGATAAAACTTACTTTGCAATAGCTGAAAAAGGAGTTTGCCCAAAGATCATCATCTATGAATATCCTTCTCTGAGGCCCTACAGAATCCTTCAAGGTGAGTCCAGTAGAATCTTTAAAACGCCCGTGTTCAAGGTTAACAACATTCTGAAGAGCATGTAACATTATTACGTCTATCACAGTCCTCCAGAGAACCAAAACTAGTAGAAGATTGGAGATATAGTCTCAACCCATTTCCCCCTAAGTCCTTGAAATCTACTATTTTCCCCCCTTTATTTAAAGGAATTAGCTTATGCAGTTGTGGGGTCTGGCAAGTCTGAAGTTTTAGGACATGCCTGTTAGGTCTGTCCAATTCTGAGAGACAGGTGTCGAAGTCTCCAAATATAATAGTAGATTCATCTGCTTCTTCTTGAAGTTTTTGTCTGTTTTTGCCTCATGTCGTTTGACACTCTGTTGTCAGGGGCATACATGTTAAGAACAATTATGTCTTCTTGAAGAACTGAAACCCTTTGTCCTTATGTAAAGCCCTTCTTTATCTCTGGTAATATTGCTTGCTTTGAAGTCTGCTCTGTCTGAAATTAATATAGCCACTCCTGATTTATTTTGATTAGGGTTAGCAGGTATATTTTTCTCCATCCATTTACTTTTAATCTACATGACTCTTTATTTTTAATGTATAGCTGGGTCATGTTTTTTGATTCTATGACAACCTTTGTCTTTTAATTGGTACATTTAGACCACTGATATTCGAAGTGATTATTTACATAGTTGGATTAACAACTGTACTTGTTAGTTTTCTATTTGTTGTCCTTGTTCTCTGTTCTTATTTTTCCCTTCCACCTTTTTTCTGCCTTTTGTGATTTTAATCGAGCATTTTATATATTCCATATTCTTTCCTTTCTTAGCATGTTATACTTCTTTTTTTAAACTTTTTTTAGTGATTGCCCTAGAGCTTGCAATATGCATTTACAATTAATCCAGGTCTACTTTCAAATAATATTATACTATTTCACAGGTAGTGTGAGTACCTTATAATAACAAAATAATCGTAATTCTTCCCTGCAGTCCTTTATATCATTGCTGCCATTTATTTCACCTAAATATAATCTTATATTCATTTCACTTATCTATAAGCATACCTATGTACATAAGCATACATAAGTCAAATACGTTGTTGCTATTATTATTTTGAACAAACTCTTATCTGTTACAACAATTAAGAATAAAAAAATTATAAGTTTTCATTTTACCTTCACTTATTCCTTCTTTGATGCTCCTCCTTTCCCTGTGTATATCTGAGTTTCTGACCTATAGTATTTTCTTTCTCTCTAAAGAACTTCTCAACATTTCTTGCAAGGCAGGTCTACTGGAAACAAATTTCCTCTATGTTTGTTTATCTGAGAAAGTTTTTATTTGTCATTTCTGAAGGATAATTCACTGGGTATAAAATTGGTGTTTCTCTTGTCTCAACACTTTAAATGTTTCACTCCACTCTCTCCTGGCTTGCATGGATTTGAGGAGTTGGATTAATTATTATCTTTGTTCTTCTTATGTAAGGTGTTTTTTCTCCCTCTAGCTTCTTTTAAGATTTTTTCTTTATCTTTCGCTTTCTGTGGTTTGGGGAGCATTTATTCCCGGTTGGTGTTCTCTGAGCTTTCTGGATCCATGGTTCAGTATCTGATGTTAACTTGNTTCTCCCTCTAGCTTCTTTTAAGATTTTTTCTTTATCTTTCGCTTTCTGTGGTTTGGGGAGCATTTATTCCCGGTTGGTGTTCTCTGAGCTTTCTGGATCCATGGTTCAGTGTCTGATGTTAACTTGGGGGAAATTCTCAGTCATTATTGTTTCAAATATTTCTTCTGTTCCTTTCTTTCGTCTCCTTCTGGAATTCCCATTACACAGACGTTACACCTTTTGTAGTTGTCCCACAGCCCTTGACTGTTCTGTTCTGCTTTTGCCAGCCTTTGTTCTCTTTGCTTTTCAGTTTTGGAAGTTTCTGTTGGCATAGCTTCTAACTCAGAGATTCTTCCCTCAGCTGTGTCCAGTCGACTAATGTGCCCATCNAGTTTCTGTTGGCATAGCTTCTAACTCAGAGATTCTTCCCTCAGCTGTGTCTAGTCGACTAATGTGCCCATCAAAGGCATTCTTCATTTCTGTTACAGTGTTTTTGATCTCTAGCATTTCTTTTTTTGGTTCTATATTAGGAGTTCCATCTCTCTGCTGACATTGGCCACCTGTTCTTACGTGTTGTCTGTGTTATCCATTAAAGCCCTCGGCATATCAGTCACAGTTGTTTTAAATTCCTGATCTGGTAATTCCAACATCCGCGCGATGTCTGGCTCTGATGCTTGCTCTGTCTCTTCAAACTGTGCTTTATGGCTTTGGTGTGCTGTGTAACTTTTTCTTGAGAGCCAGAGGTGATTTACTGGGTAAAAAGAACTTTAAATAGGCGTTTTGATGCGGTGGTAAGGTGTTGGGGGGAGGGAAAGCCTTATTTAGTCCTATGATTAGGTCTCAATTTTTAGTGAGCCTCTGCTTCTGAAATGTGAACTTTATAAATGTTTCTCAGTATTTTTCTACCCCCTTAGGTGAAACAGGATGGCTAGAGTGGGCTGGAGTTGGGACAGGCACACTTTGGGGATATTGCAGGCTTAGTCCCATATCACTGCAGTCCAGCAAATGTTGCAACAACGTGAGTTGTATTCATTTTGTTGATGTAGGGTTTATCTTCAATTTGTAAAAAGCGCAACATCTGTGAAGCCATTAAGGGAAGTGCAGTAAACACGTTTGCCTGTGTTTCAGCTACACTCTCATAACACCCCAGCACTGTAGGGGCGGGTTTATTGGTTTCTCCTGAGGGCCAGCAGGCCTTATTAGCAACTGTGCTCTGGGGCATTTCCAAAGGCTCCTTTTCTCCTCCCCCCTGACGGAAGCCGGAGGGGATTTTTCTAGATGTTTACTGTGGGAAAGCGGAGGTAAATCTCACAGTATTGTTGGGGCCACCATATGCTGGGCTCCCCTTGGAGTTTTAACTCTCAGACTTGTCCACACTGAGCTTCCAGCAACTCATCAGTTACAGTTCAGGTTTTACTGCCCGGACACTGGTTCTTTCTCTGTTTTGGCTCTTTCTACCCCAGTCTCTGCTCTGGTAAGTTGCAAATCCCTATATTCACCTGCCAGTCTCTCCAGTCTTGAGGGTAACGGTTTGCACTGTGTCCTTCCCTGTCTTGTGGACCCAAGAAGAGTTGTTGATTTTTTTTTCAGTTCGTTCAGCTTTATGCTTGTTGGTAGGACAGAGTCGTGACTTCCTAGCTCCTTACATGGAAACCTGAAGTCATCAACTTTTATTTTGTAGTGTTTTTCTTCAGTGGCAAATTTAAAATTATAGATTGAGTTCTTCCTGCTAAAGAAATGCTTTTGTGATCCCCTCCCCCACTGCATAAAATGGAATATTTTCTCAAATTGTTTTTCTCATGCAAAATGTGATTAAGATTTATTTACCCACCCACCTCATATTATGTGAAACTTTCTAGAGCCAAGGGTGATGAATGATTTTAGAGTTATTTATTTAGGGGATTCTTGGCATTCTTCCATCAATACACTTCACCGGAGCGCACTCTCTGTCTCTCTCTCTCTCTCTCTTTCTCTCTGTTGTTCTGTCTTTATCTCTCTTGTGTGTGTGTTGTTGTTTTTTTAATAATACCCTTTTGAAAATGAAATAAATGTTGCACCTGTTCATCACTCACCTTCATCCTTTCAGATGGGACTGACCTGGCCTATGCGTATGTGGACTTTAACTACAGCGGTTCCTTGCTGGCCTCTGTTGGTGGCAACCCTGATCACACATTGACCATCTGGAATTGGAGACAGGAACAGCCCATACTGAGGACAAAAGCTTTTTCCCAGGAAGTTTTTAAGGTCACTTTCAATCCTGAAGATGATCAGCAGCTTACTACCGCAGGAACAGGCCACATCAAGTATGTTGCGTGACTAATACAGGTGCTAGTAGATTGTAATTAGGGTATTTTTCTAAGAGGATCGACCAGCTGGAGACATTTTTGCTGATGTTGTTAACATTAGGGTACTTTTTAAATGTGTTCTTTTTAAAGCTAACTAATTCAATATGGGGATGTATTACTGCAGACAGCACAGATACAAGAAGGCTATTTAAATTTAGCCTGCTGCCTTCCTGGAGGCTTTACCTCCTTTACTGCAGGAGCTCCAACCCTGGGAGTGCCATGCTGTTCTTTATCAGTCCCAGAAAACCACGAGGAGGGCCAGAGGGAAGGACAGAGCCTTTATTACTTACGCAGTAGGGAAGCCCAGATGGCGGGTGGTTGGGTGAGTTTCCCCAGTGGCTGGCTAGGGCCTAGCAAGGGATTCTCTAGCAGCTAGCGGGGGGGGGGCATGCTGGGAGTGGCCTGCGTGTGAGTCTGGTGAAGCTTGTTAGCCGCCAAGGATGTGGGAAACACTCGGATCTGGGCTTCTCTGCTCCTTGTGGCCGCTGGCCAGGTGGACACCTTTCCACTGACTGGGATGGGGAATTGGGCTATGTCCTCGCTTTACACTACATCTCCTAAAATGGTTTGTATATTTTCTTCCTAATGTTGGCGTGGTATTTCCAAATTCATACTAAACTTTCAGATTTACTATTAAGTTTGTTGCTCGTAGCAATCTTGTATGACGGAGAAGTCATTTTGACATCTCTGAACTCAGTCTTCATCTGTTGTAACAAAAATTACAACAGGTTCATTCCCGACACAGGCCCCTTAATACTAAAGGGGAGCAGAGCCTACTCTTGGTCTCAGGTCTTTGGCTCTAAATTCCGTATCTTTTTCACTGTGTTATACCCTGGTCTATTTCCAGGGTGGAATGAGTTTGTTCTCCTTTTTCGTTCCACCCAGTCTCATGCGTTTATGTAACAATCTTCTACCACCACCCTCAAACTGCCCGTAACGTGATTCCAGTGTCTCTTTATGCAAGATGTTTTTATCTGTCCTAAATTATTCTTCTTCCAATGAAACCTGGTCTTCTTACTCCTTCATTAGAAATACAGAATAATTGAACAGGTTTTTAATTGCAATTTTTTGGGGGAGTTCTCCAGTAACCCTCTGCTAGCAATAGGCTGAAAATTTCCATTGGCTTACATTTCCCCATCATTTAATAAAGTGCATGTTTTCTGTGCACCACATCTTCAGGGAAAGATAGACATTGAACAACATCATGTGTGAAGTGCTGTGAAAGAAACACGTACTACATGGGAACAAATGATCAGGGGACCTACCATAGCCTCTGAGAAGGATGTCGGTCACTTAGGCTTCGGCTTCACGTTATTGGCTTGTCGATACCTTTCCTTATCTATTTTATGTCCAGTTGGTAGGCCAGATTCTTTTTCTGCATGGTTTTATCATTCTGACTGTACATTTGTTTAGACTATTAATAGGAAAATGATAGTATTAACTAACATTGATTGATTGCTTTTATGTGCTAGGCACTCTGATAGTTTTTAACAGTTTTATAAGGTAGGTGCTACTAATATTCCCATTGTATGCATGAGAAAATTAAGGCACACTGTGGCTAAGAGAGTCACTTAAAGTTACACAGCAAGTAAACTTGTGAAATTTTGGGGAAAACTTGTACACCTTCTAAAACATTATTATTCAAAGGAACTCTGCCCAGGGTAGAAATGTTCTGTGCTGTCCGGTTCAGTGGACACTGGCCACATGGAGCTATTGGTCACCTGCAACTGGCTGGTCTGACTGAAACAATGATTTTTAAATTTTACTTGATTACTTTAAATCTCAATTAGTCCAACTTGGCCAATGACTATGGCATAGGATAGCACAGCTCTAAAATATAAGACCTGTAAAGGCAAGGAATTTTGTTCTGTTTTATTTTGCTCAATGCTGAATTCATATCACCTAGAACTTTGCCTGACAGGTAGTAGATACTTAATATGTATTAATCAGATGAATGAATAAATGTAAGAATATAAATGCTTGGGTCATATTAAAATTTACAGAAACTTCTTTGAGACAGGTACATTCAGTCTCTCTCTTGTCTGCAGATTCTGGGAAATGGCTCTAACATTCACTGGTCTCAAGCTTCAGGGTTCACTAGGTCGGTTTGGCAAAACAGCCACTACTGATATAGAAGGCTACATGCAGCTCCCAGACGGGAAGGTGAGTATAGTCTCAATTCTACAGTGATAAAGCTATGTTTTCAAGTGACATACACATATGAAGGCATGTTATACATTCTAAAAAGCACGGCCGATATTAGCAGTAACAGATACTATAATTGTGAACATAATGAACATTTAATTTTGCGTCTTCAGATGATCAATTTTAATTAATATATTTCCATGAAATTGTCATAACCCACATGTACCTATCACTTGCTCTTTTGTTTTTACTAAATATTATACAATATAAAGTGTGCATTTTCATATATTAATATAGTGACATACTTGTCACTTTTAATTATGTCACGGAGTTGCAGTGTTTATGTTTCTCTCTCCCCCCTTCTTTGTCACGATGCTTCAAGATGATTTACTGACCAGCACAACCCTTGGTAAAAACATGGTGTGAGATATATCTTTAACCCTTTGCAGTCGTATTAAATTTGGAAATGGGTGTCGTACTGGTTGGAATTAAGAGCTTTCAGAGAAATTATGAACTGATACATGAATGAATAGAGTTAAGATTCATATGGTTTCTTGTTGTGGTGGCTGAGAGCAGACATACAACCAGAACGGTAAAAAAGCTTTGGTGGCTGAGAGTAGACAAACGACCGCAAAGGGTTAATATCTCTAGATATTAAAGTTTGTGTAGGTGTAGGGGAGAAAATAAGTATTTTAAAATAAGAGAGCCACAAAAGGAAATGTTTAGCATTAGGAATAAATATCAGATATTAGAGGGCCAATGAGAATAAAGTATTCGCGCTAGGAAAGTGTGGGGAATTAGATTGAGAAGTGCGGTTAGGTCCTAGTGTATGAGGAGTTGAACAACCAGGCAGAACTATTATATTTTGGAAGAGTAGAGTTGCAAATGAAAAAAGTTATAGATAAATTTAGCCATATAATGCCCAGTGAATTAGAGCAAGGGAAATCTGGAGTCAAGGAGATCACCTAGGAAGGAAGATGTTGCTTTCCTCTAAGAAGAGGTGGTAAGGGAGGGCCTCGACTTTTCTCAGGACCAATGCAAAAGGAAAGCTAGACATGAATGACATTTCAGAAAGGAATGCCTTATAGGCTTTGGTGACTTTTGGTGGCTTTAGTCACTGGACAGAAGAAACCAAGTCTAAAGACTCTACCACAAGTGGGCTGAAGCAATATAGATACAAATAGGTAGGCAAAGTGGTAGAAAAGATTGAGTGAGGTCATAAGTTACTCTGCCCTGGCTGAGAGGGACGTGGGGATGCAGAATCCTAGAGCAGCAGGCAGGAATTAGATCAGAGTTTCCCAAAGGGCGTCCCATGGAAGGTTGGTCTGCACAGCAGATGAAAATAAGACTTTCTCTTCAGATTCCTTCATAACGAAAAATCCCTCTTGGTGATTCCCAGTGAATACTTTGTGTTAAAGTGCCCAAGGAGTCCTAGGGAAAAGAAGTTTGTTTGGCTTTGTTTATCCTAGCATCTGCCTTCTGAGGCGGTAGGTGGAACAGGAGCTTTTGAGCCACGGTGCCTGGTTGAGAATCCTGACTCCTCTGAGTAATTTTGGGCAAAATACTTAAATGTTCTGTGCTTCAATTTTTCCCCTTTGTAAAATGGGGATAATAACAGTCAGGGCTTCCCATGCCCCATATGGTTTTGTGTGAAGAGAAAAACTGTCTCTCCTGGGAAAATAAAGTGCCTGACTTGTACACTATACATGTTATCCCCAGTAAATGTACCTAGTTCATATGGTTTTAGGATTAAATACATTTATATATGTAGAATGCTCAAGCAGTTCTTGGCACAGAATCAATACTCCATTAGTATTTTTTTTTTTCTCAGTCCCCACCTGAGGACATTTTTCCATTACTTTTCAGAAGGGGGGTGGGGGGAGAGAAACATTGATGTGAGAGAGAGACATCGATTGGTTGCCTCCTTCATGCACCCTGAGTGGGGCTGGGGGTCGAGCCTGCAACTGAGGTACCTGCCCTTGACCGGAACTGAACCCGGGACCCTTCAGTCCTCGGGCCGACGCTCTAACCACTGAGCCAACCGGCTACAGCAGTATTACTTTTTAGGTAACACGTGTTAAATGCCCTAAGAACTAGTGTTTGGTGGTATGTACTGTGGGAAGTGCTGGGTTAAATGGATTAATATGAGGTGGTTCCAGATGACTCTCCTTCTTTGAAACTGGATGCTGCTATGCTGTAATCTTCTGGGTCCAGTAATGCCCTCACAACTTATCAAACATATAACAGTTGATATTATCATACTTAAAAAGTAGAGTCTCATCTGTCAAGAACTTTAAACATGCCTCTAACTTTTGACCCAGTAATTCCACACCTGGATTATGTCCTTAAGAGAGGTACAAAGAAAGATATAGTAGGTATGTTTGAAAAATTACCAGTAGCATGCAGCCTAATCACAGTAATGAAAATGATGGGCAACCCTCGGAGGAAATACATCAAAATGTGGTTAGTAGGTTTTCCTGGAGCAGTGAGGTTTCATTTCTATATTTTTAAATTTTTTTCTATATTTAAAATTTTTACTTTCATAATCAAGAAAAAATATTTTAAAAATTGTTTTTTCCTGCTATTGGAGGCATAAATATACACATTTATCTGTCTTAATGCACATTCTTTCCTTTCTGCACACCTTCCAGGTGCTGTCAGGATCAGAATGGGGCAACATGCTGGTTTGGGAAGCTGGCCTCATCAAAGTTGAACTCTGTCGAGCTGCACGTAAGTCTTGTCACCAGGGTCCCATCAACCAGATAATGCTGGACGAGGGTGAAGTTATCACTATCGGGTCAGATGGATGCGTAAGGGTAAGATTTCTTGATACGTGGACTGTAGCACCCACATTTAAGCCTTGCAGATCACCCAGTTGGCTCTATCAGTTTTTTATTTCTCGCAAAGGACATTTTATGAAGGAGACCAGTGGTCATTTACCCCCAGGGCCAACTCATTTTAAATAATGCTGCTTTTATGGTAAATATTTGATTTCTAGTCAAAATTAATTTACAGCATCTTAGCACTGAAATTTTCTGAGGAGGTCTTTTGTTATTTTGATTGTTGTTGAAATAGTAGCTTCAGAAAATGAAAGCCCGTGTTAGCACAATATAAAGAGTGGACACAGATGTCCTTCCTAAATGCTTGGTATGAATGGATCATTTTCCAGGGACAAAAGTGCCAAACATTTGTTGCTTATTTTTGTTTTTTTTAATCCATGCCTGAGGAGATGTTTACACACACACACACACACACATACACACACACACACACACACATATATTTTTTAAGGAAGGGGGAGAGACAGAGAGAAACATTGATTGGTTCCCTCTGGTGCATGTCCGGATCAAATCCTCAACCTAATGTGTGCCCTGACCTGGAATTGAACCCAAGTGTACAGAATGATGCCCCAACTGACCGAGCTGCCTGGCCAGGGCTTGCTGATTATTTTTATTGAGGTTACTAATCGGGAATATACTCAGAGGTGAGATGAGAGGGTTTGGCTGTGGATGCTCCCTGCTCCTTGCGCCTGACACTAGTGAACTCATTCTCCCCTGTGGACACTTTTTCCTTCTGGTTGTGGTCACACCTCTGTGTTTACCCTGCTGTTGCCGACAAACCTGGAGCCTCCTGATTTGTCCTGTGGTCCTTTTGTTACTGACTCCTTCTGAGGCCTTTCATAAGGAAGTGGTAGTGTTCTTTGTATATTCTTTAGAACGTATTATTATCAAAAATAGGACTATATTTTTAAGTCTGATCATTGTTGACACCTATGGAACTTATGCCTAATGTATTGTTTACGCCGTATCTTCTACAGTCTGCCCTCTTACCATTGGCTTTTTGAACCCAAGCATACATTTTTTACATTTACCATATTAAATTTAATCTTGTAAGATTTTACTCATTACTCTGAGAATATTTTATGTCCTTCGCTATGTCATAAAATATATTCACTGCTTCCAAGATATGTCAACTCAAAATGTCAAGATAGCAAATGGAAGAAATCCTCAAGAGCAAAGTTAAATATTTCACAAAGGATCTCTTCAGTCCTGTTAGAAAAGACTTGCCCCACCTCCCAGGCATTAGTCTGGCCCTAGGACCTGGGCCTCCGGCCATGAGGCTCATCTATGGGACAACACCAAGCCTCCCTGAAGTTACCTTGCCAGAGTCTGAGTTACTGAGTTCAGGACGTGGCAGGGTGTGCCAACAGGACCATCCAGAGTGGGCTTTGGCACTTCACAGAGGAAGTCCTTCTAAGTCTCTCTACCACATGGGGTGAAAGTGTGAATTGTGCTCCCCCATCCTTCCTGTAGCATTCTGGTCTCCTACCCCAAGAACAACAGTCCTTATCTGTACAATACAGTCTAAATCGATGATAGGGAAGGGAAACGCTTTCTAATGAACACATCATCTACATTCATTTTCTCTGCTTATAATGAAGACAGTGTTCGAATTATTAGGCGAGAAGGTCTATTTCCCCTTTCCAGGGGCCTACTGGTGAATATGAAACAGGACTTGTGATGGTTTGCTGAACAAGCGAACCATTTACTCCTCATGGCCACTCCATGTGCAGACAGACCTTTCAGAAACCTTGAAATACACATCATTTTGGACAAGTTAGAATTCTTAATCAGAGCTGTACTTTCTCATAAATGTCTATAAATACAAAGGAATTTCTTTTGTATTTCTTTTCTGGCTTAGAAAATATAAATTCAGGAACTACTGTGTGATTAAAGTATTTTCTTATTAATTTTATGAGATATGGGATTTTGAGACCATAGACACTGCTGATTCTATAAACGAGACTGGACTGCTAGAGATTGAGCCCATCAATGAACTTCTAGTAGACAAGAATGTCAAACTCTTCTCCATGATAAAAATGAATGAAGCTGGAAATAACTTTTGGTTGGCTCAGGTAAGTTGCATTCTTCTCTCTTGGCTCTTTTAAAGTTACCTGGACATAAAATTAGAATAGTATTATAATTTAATGTCACTTTAAGTCCGTGTTACTATTAAGACTAATTATTGATACCTGAAAGAAGAGTTTCTGAATTTTGGTATTTTAATTGACCTATATTTTATACACAGAAAACCTGTTAGGAGCATTTCTATTTTGTTAAACTAAGTATAACAAGATTGCTTTGTTGTGTGGTTGTGTTCTAAGATATATAGAAGTTGATTTAGTTAAATTTCAGTCACACTTTAAAATATATGTAAACTTTTAGTAGTATTGTTCGTCCTTTAAATCATAGGAAGAAAATTATTTTAATCTGGCAAAAGTTCAAAAGTATAAGACAAAATGTTATCAGGTATTTAATTTTTTAGGATTCCAGTGGCGCCATATGGAAGCTTGACCTTAGCTTTTCAAATATTGTAAGTTGCCTATTTTCTTATTTTTCTAATTTTTATAATAATAAATCTTTGCTATTCTTCCTTAAAAGGTACTTTATCTTTCTCCACGTTTCTTCATTGTTTCCATCAAAAACTTGGTCAAGCTGTCTGATTCCTGAGAATTCATATTGTTTCTTTCTCTCTCTTCTTTTGGTATTATTGTATATTTAAAAAGGTCTGTCTCATAGCAAAAGTTACCAGAAAAGTGGCAATGACAATGGTTAATGTACAGTGCTTTGCAGTTTTCATAAACATAAGCTATCTGCATTTATTTTATCTCATGTTATCCTCACCACCATTCTATTTAGTGGGCAAGCAGTTGCTATCAGCTCATTTTACTGATGAAGAAATGGGAACTGGCATCCGAAGTGGCTTGTGCAGAATCACACAGCCATCAAGGGCATGGCCAGTACTCTATTTCCCCTAGTTCCAAAGTCCAGCATTCTTTCCAACCTATTATGCTTTTCCTTATTTCTATTCAGATAAAATCACACATGTAATTACAGGGTGCTATTTGTATTTCTTTAAACTTGACCTTAATTCTATGTTAAGCTGTCGTTGAGATCTAATAGAATTTCTGTCTTAATGATCAGACACAAGATCCAGAATGCCTCTTCTCCTTCCATTCGGGACCCATTGAAGCCTTGGCCGTGTCTCCTCTCACTTATCTGATGGCCACTACTGCCTTGGACTGTAAGTAGGAACTCTCAGTGAAAATATAGTTGGCCTTTTTGTTTTGTTTTCATACAATCTTTCGTATGTGTTTGATTAAAAGCATTTCAGAATTTTTCCAAAAGGAGAGCCTCTTAATTCAAGTAAGGTGAGTTTTTGTGGAGGAAAGGGCACGAAATGCAGCAGCCATAGTTATTGTGAGATTAAGATGAGTGCACAATCAGTAAATGACTCATGAAAATGCTATTCATTTTGGTTTTTATCTATATTTGTGCTGCTGTATTCCTTTCCATCTCCTTTCTTCTTGACTTATGGAGAATCTTTGTGGACTGTGCAAAGTGAAATTAATCTACCAATCATCAGTTGTCTTTTTTTTCTTTTACTTTAAATAATTTATTTTTCAATTAAAGTTGACAGACGTTATTATATTAATTTCAGGTGTACAACACAGTGATTTGATACTATATAACTTACTAAGTGATCACCCCAATAAATCTAGTACCCATCTGACACTCTACATAATTCTTACAATATTATTGACTATATTCCCTATGCTGTACTTTAAGATCCCTGTGACTATTCTTTAACTACCAACTTGTACTTCTTAATCCCTTCACCTTTTTCACTCAGCTTCCCAATTCCACTTGCATCTGTCAACCATCAAAATGTTCTCTGTATCTGTGAGTCTGTTTCTGTTCTGCTTGTTTATTTTGTTTTTAGATTCCACATGTAAGTGAAATCATATGGTACCTCTGTCTGACTTAGCACAATATCCTCTAGGTCCATCCATGTTGTTGTAGATGGAAAGATTTCATTCTTTTTTATGACTGAGTCATATTCCATTGTATATATGCATCACTTTATCCATTCATCTACTGATGGACACTTAGGTTGTTTCCATATCTGGGCTATCGTAAATAATGTTGCAATGAACATATGGATGTATAAATCTTTTCAGTTTAGTGTTTTGGGTTTCTTCAGATAAATACCCAGAATTGGAATTGTTGGGCCCTTCTTTGTCTCTTGTTATATAGCCTTTGCTTTAAAGTATATTTTGTCTGGTATAACTATTGCTACTCCAGCTTTTTTTTTTTTTCCTGCTTCCATTTTCATGAAATATCTTTTTCCATCTCTTTAATTTTAGTCTGTATGTGTCTTTTGATCTGAAGTGAATTTCTTGTAAACAGCATATGTAAGGGTCTTGTTTTGTTATCCACTCAGCCTCCATATGTCTTTTGATTGGAGCATTAAATCCACTTTCCTTTAAAGTAATTGTTGATAGATATGTATTTATTGCCATTTTGTTATTCATATTTTTCCTCTTTTTTTCCTCTTTTTTAACATTTCTTGTAATACCAGTTGGGTGGTGATGAACTCTTTTAACTTTTTCTTCTCTAGAAAGCTCTTTATCTGTCCTAAGATTCTAAATTATAGCTTTGCTGGGTAGTGTAATCTTGGTTGTAGGTTCTTGCTTTTTATCACTTTGCATATTTTGCCAATCCCTTATGGCCTGCATAGTTTCTATTGAGAAATCAGCTGAGCTCCCTTGTAGATAATTAACTGCTCATCACTTGCTGCTTTTAAGATTCTCTCTTTGTCTTTAATCTTTGGCATTTTAATTATGATGTATCTTGGTGTAGGCCTCTTTGGGTTCATCTTGTTAGGGATTCTCTGTGCTTTCTAGACTTGTATGTCTATTTCCTTCACCAGGTTAGAGAAGTTTTCTGTCATTATTTTTTCAAATAGGTTTTCAACTCTTTGCTCTCTCTCCTCTCCTTCTGGCATCCTCATGATGCAAATGTTAGTAGGCTTGAAGTTGTCCCAGAGGCTCCTTAAACTCTCCTCATTTTTTTTTGGATTCTTTTTTTGGGGGAAGGGGGTATTTTCTGCTTCCTTATCTTTCAAATCTGATTTGATCCTCTGCTTCATCTACTCCACTGTTGATTTTCTATAATATATTCTTCATTTCAGTTAGTGTATTATTCATTTCTGACTGGTTCTTTTTTATTTCTTATTTTTAATTTTTATTTTTTTATCTCTGTTTTTATGTTTTCTGCCTCTTTGTTGAAGTTATCACCAAGTTCATCTACTTATTGAGCATCATTATAACCAGTGTTTTGAACTTTGTATTTAGTAGATTGCTTATCTCCACTTTGTTTAGATCTTTTTCTGGAGTTTTGTTCTGTGCTTTCATTTGGGACATGTTTCTTTGTCTCCTCATTTTGGCTGCCTCCCTGTTTTTGTTTTTTCTCTCCTGTGTTTGTATTTATGTATCAGGTAGAACTGCTAGTCTCCTGGGCTTGGTAGAGTGGCCTTATGTAGTAGGTGTCCTGCAGGGTCCAGTGGCACAGCCTCCTCATTCACTTGAGCTGGACACTCCAGTTTTGCCCCCTGTGTGGGCTGCGTGCACCTTCCTGTTGTAGTTGAGCCTGTATTGCTGTTGGCAAGTCAATGGGAGGAATTTACCCCAGGCCATTTGGCTGTGAGGACCGGCTTCCGTCACTGTGGAGGATCAGCTGTACAGGGACTGACACCACAGAACAGGACTTACTTCAGCAGGACTCTGTAGTCCACCTCTTGAGTGTGTTCTTGTGGAGGAGGTTGGGTGGTGCTTTGATGTAGTCTCAAGCTGTCCACAAGGTATGGTGGCTTTGGGGCCTCCTGGGGGATGCAGGTCAAGGTCATCCCCCACCTCTGTACAGCCCAGGGCCACCTGGCATGAGCTACACAATAACCTGCAGTTGGCTGCTACTTGTGCTGGGTTTAGAGGTGCCCAGGAGAGGCCAAGCTGTGAACCAAGGCCAGCTGCTACTAGTGCTGGGTCTGGGGCCTCTTAGCAAGACAGCAAGGGCAAGGCCAGATGTTGCTTGTTTGAGAGATTTTAAGAAAGTCTGAAGCATGAGCCAAGATAGGCCACTTATATGGAAAAGCCACTGGAAATGGCTTGGCTTGGGTTGGGTTGGGTTCGGTCTGCAAGTTGGGTGGGGTCTTAGGGAATCACCAGGGCAGGGCAATGGTAACAAGTTGATGGAGACTCAAATATGGTGCTCACCTGCCACCTCTGTGGGAGCAGGCCTCAGAAAAAAAAAAACAATGGCCTCTGCCAGCACTTTTGTCTGAGAGAAACGTTCTGCTCCAGTTCTCACCTCGATGCCAGGCAACTCGGTTCCTCCCTATATGTCCCTGGTGCCCCAACGCTGGAGCTCAGAGTGAGTGAGTCTGAGTAAGTCTGTGAGTGGGCCCTTGAAGAGGAATGCCTGGGTCTCTAGGAACCCTCTATCTCACTCAGCCACAATGTGAGCTGGTTTTTACAGCCAGAAGTTATGAGGACTTCTCTTCCTGGCACTGGAATCCTGGGCTGGAAGGCCTGGCGTGGGACTGGGACTCCTTGTTCCTTAGGGGGTTCTCCACAGCCAAGATATCCCTCCTGATTTTTATCTGCCACGGGGGTGTGGAACCAGACCCTTCTAATTCTCTGCCTCTCCTACCAGTTTTGATGTGGCTGCTGCTTTATGTTCATAATTGTAGGACTTCTGTTCAGCTTGATTTCAGGCAGTTCTGAATGGTGGTGGTTCTGTAGTTTAGTTGTAATTCTAACATGGTTGTGAGAGGATTTGAGTGCTGCATTTACCTATGCCCCTATCTTAACCGGACTCTCAGTTTTCTTCTTTATTATTCATGTTTATAAATTACCCAATTGAGGGTATACATAGAAATTTTTGACTAAAGAAAGGTTATTAGATTATCAGTTGATGTTGTTATTTAGGAAATTTCTTGTTATAATGCTCAACATGGGAAGTGAGTCAAGGTTATTTTAAAAGGGATTATATGTATGCATTTGTTTTTTTAAAACTGTCTTCCTATAGGCTCTGTTCGAATCTATGATTTTGCTAGCAAAACTCCTTTGACTTCTGTGAAATACAAACAAGGAGGCACTGCCCTTGCTTGGGTACCTCGACTGGTAAGTTTATTATAATGAACTTCTACCAGATTTTATTAATAAATGTAGTATAACAATGCTATTTCTTGGAAATACAGATATTTTCTGACTCTGGATTTCAGAGAAGAGTAAAAATTTTAAGTTTATTCACTTAGAACATGATAGAAATCATATCATGACCTTGCTGTTATTGTGATTTTGGTCCTGTTTTAATGACTCTATTTTTATGCCACCTTCAGATTAGTAGTAGTTCCATGTTACAAAGTAATTACCCAACAGAACTTTTTGTATATATCCTCTCTCTGCCTCGCCCTGTTTTATTCAGTCTGTTTACTTGTCCAGCATGCCTACTAGGTCCTGGGCCTTGTTCTGGATTCTGGGATTATAGCAATGAACAAAGACAAAAATACTTGCCCTTGTTGTACCTTACCCTGTAGTGGGAGACAGGGGCAGAGACAGGGTCAGAGACAGATGACAAGCAAATAAGTAAAATGTGATATGTAAGATAATGATAAGAGCTACAAGAGAAAATTAGCAGAGACAGGGAGTTGTTCGAGTTATCTATTACTGTGTAACAAGCTACCACAAAATGTAGTGGTATAAAACAGCAATTATTTTATTTTGCTCATATACTCTGTAGATTGGGAATTCAGCAGGGATGGGTTATCTCTGCTTCGTGGTATCTGGGACCTCAGCTGGGAAGACTTAAATGATTGGGTCCTGGAATTATCTAAAGGCTTCTGTATTAAAAGTCTGGCACCTGGGGTGAGGCTGGGCTAAGCTGGGATATCAGCAGGAGCGCTTATCTAATAGCCCCTCCATATGGCTTGGGCTTCATCACAGCATGGTAGCCTCACGGCAGTCACACACTTCTTCCATAGCAGCTTAGGGCTCCAAGATCTCGTGTCCCAACAAACAAGGCAGAAGCTGCTGGCCTTCCCAGCCTCGGAGGTAACACAAGTTACCCAACAGAACTTTTTGTATATATCCTGTCTCTGCCTGGCCCTGTTTCATTCTTACTTCTACCAAACTCCAGTGGGTGAAGCGGTCGCAAGCTCCACCCAGATTCAAGGGGGAGGGACTTAAACCATATCTGTCCATGGGAGGCATGTCGAAGAATTTGTAGCCGTGTTTTTAAAATGTTATGGGAGTATTTTGGGAATGTTTCAACTTTACTGTTTTGGGTTGAAATAAAAAAAAGAAAATGTTCCAGGCTCAAAGTAGATGTGGAGATGACTGGAATGGAGGGGAATTTCATGATGGGATCAAAATTAGAAGGAGAATTTAGGCAGAACAATTACGCTAGAACAAGTAGAAACCACAGTATATTTGGATTACCAAACTTGGCTCTTTTATTCTAATCTATTTACATTCTTAGTGAAGTCTTTAAAAGACAGCCCAAATAATTGAATCATTTGTTCAGATGTGATGTCCCTAGAATGTTTCCCATTTTAGCCTTACATCCAAGTAACGATCATATGGATGTTATACTAGAATCAAAATGCCCCTTCTCCATACTCGCTTGCCTTCTGAAAAACTCCACACCATTCTTGACAGCTCAGCTCAGGTCAAACATCATCTCCTTCCCATAGCCCTTTGTGACTCCACCTTCAAATACAGTTAAGTGTACCTTCCTCTGTTGTTTTGTTTGTTGGTTAAGGATTGTGTATATACTTCTCTGACAGCACTTAGCACAACATACTAAGATTATTTGCTTTACTGTCTGCCCTTCCCACAAGACTGTATGTTCTTCATGGTGACAACCATACCTATTCTTTGCCACTATGGCAAAGTAGTGCCACTACGGTTACTGGTACATTTAGACACTTAGTCAATGTTTGTTGAATTAATAACATACAACTGGAGTTGAATAGAATACAGTTTTCTTATTCTCAATATTCTCCTAATTGCTTGGCCTCGGGGATGATCACTGTCTCTAAAGAATACCAGGGCTATCGTCGTCCTCCTGAATACCTTTAAGACAACAGATTTAGAACATTCCGACATTGCTGGATTTATATCTCCAGCCCAGACTTCTCCCCTAAGCTGAAGACTGTATGTCACCTCTATATTGAGGTCTCCAGGGGACCTCAAACTCAACATGTCCAAGACGAAATTAACGATTTTCTACTTGCTCCCAGCTATCCCTCCCTCCAGAACGATAGCAGCAATGAACCACACACACACCTGGCTCCCTTCCAGTGTTTCCTGACTCAGGATATGTCTTATTTGATCTTGACACCTCCCTCTGCTTCATTCCCCATATCCAGTCATTACCAATAGGGCCATTATATTTCTTATTATAAAATATGTCTATACCCCTCCTCTCCACTACATCACCTCAGACTAAGTGACCACAGTCGCTGTCCTAGAGTACGGCAGCTACCTCTCCAAAGGACTCCCAGAAGGTCTCCGTGCATCCCATCAGGCCATCTCAGAACTACCTTCCACACAGCAGTGGGGATGACTTTTCTGAAATAGCTAACATGGCCATGTCACTTCCCACCCCTAGCCCCTAACTAAAAACTTTTTGATGATTTCCCACTACTCTTGGGATGAAGACTACACCTCATGTGACATGTAAGGCACTTTGTGATGTGGTGCCTGCTTATCTCCCTCTCCAGCCTCTTGTGGAAGCCCTGCTCCCTCACTCAGTCTGCTCTAGTCAAATTACAACGTTTTTCCTGAGTTACTTTCTTTACTGCCACAGAACCTTTGCACAAGCTATATCCTCTCCCCAGAGTGCTTCTTCCACCTTCCTGTTCGTTAATCCCTGGGCCTATTTCTGATCTCGGCTCCACCATCTCTTCCTTCAGGAAGTCCTTGTGTAGGTCAGCTTTCTTTGTTGTGTGCTGTCAGAAAATATGTTTCTTTCCTTTAGCACTTAGTTCATAGTTCCTTACTCATTTGTGTGATTGATTAATGTCTGTCCTACCCACTAGACCATAAATTCTGTGAAACCAGGGGATGAGACTATGCTCACTCTTGAGTTGCTGGTGCTAGGTGCCTGACATGTAGTAGACAGACACTCCACCAACATTTGCTCATTGAGTGTTTAAATTGCCATTGTTTACCCATCTCATAGTTAGCAGTGACAGGATTGTCCTAGAAGAAATGGAGGTTACCAGAAAGTGGTAGAAGGAGTTACCAATGGGAAGTCATTGTTAAATGACTCAAGTCTAAATAAATTCAGAGGTAACAGTACAACTTTCCTAATCAACTAACTTCAGATTTCTTGTGTTTAATTTTTGTCTAAGATAAGCTTCACCGGAGCACAGATCGTTGTAGGATTTGAGGATGGAGTTGTTCGAGTACTTGAACTTTATGACCCAAAAGGGCTCACAATTTTTGCAGGACGGAAGAAATACTTGGATGCAGATCTTCATCTGAAACATGTTTTCAAACCCCATACGGATCATGTAACTGCTTTAGCTTTTGAACGCGACGGGGAAATTCTGGCTACCGGGGTGAGGAGTAGATTTGTTTGTTTCCTAGTGAACTTTGATGGTGAACCTTGCCTGTTAGTCTTCCTACCTAACGATGCCTTATTAGGTGACACTCATTTCTGAGAACGTATCCACATTTTGCTTTCTTCATATTCATGTTCTTTCAGCTTGGTCCGTGGGTGGCATTTTAAAATATCCTCACAAATTGAGTTCTAATGCTTATTTTAAATTAATAGAAAATTTCAGCTGGGAATCATGCAAGATGTTTTATGTGTAATCAGCATTTTATAACATAGGTATAGTCTTATATAGAACTGCCATAAGTGAAGAGAATGACTGTGTAAACCCTGTGTGGATTAGAAGGTGAGCATTGGCACTGGGGAGTTTTTTTCTGAGTTAATCTTATGTACAGTATGATGATTTTTCCAAAACCATGTACTGGAACACATGGTCTGTCAAGTGCTTTCATGGGGAAAATGAAATATTTGAAATAAGAATTTTCCCCAAATAATCTGGGATATGTGATCATCATAGGTATAAGTGTACTTGTAGGTACAAGTGTACAGTGGATATTAAATGCTCCTTTGTACGCTATGGAATGCATTTTGTAATAATATATATTTGGCTGATATTTCTCATTTTTTTAGAGTAAAGATAAAACTGTGTTCTTCTTTGAAGTGGAAAAAGATTATAAACCAATTGGTTATGTTACTACTCCTGGGCCTGTTTGCCAGTTAGCATGGTCTCCGCTCTCTCATGTAAGTAATTATTATTTGTCTTCATGCTTAAGTCCTAGTTGCTGCATACAGAAGCGATCTGACAGGTGGAGAACAGCAGGTGCAATTATTAGCCCCACCTCTGGGTCCTACATTGAGGGACCAGGATGCTGCTCAGCTGGGTATCAGGACAACCTCGGGAGCGGCACGCTGTCTCACTGCTTCCTCTCGCTTCCATGCTCCATGGCTCGTTGGCCACGGTCCCCTCAGGAAACGCTGGTTTCTATCCGGCTTTGCTTCAATGCTGGTGTCTTAGCTAGATACGCAGTATGTCAGAGCATGGCGACTTGGGTCTGTCAGTCCTTCTGACATTCAGAAGTTCTGTTCCAAGGCCTGAGTGTACTTCTTTCTCATCTTTATCTCTTCTCTTCTGCCCCCATTCTGCCTCCATTTCCTTTTCTGATTTCCCGTTGCCTCTTTCCTAACAACTATCATGATCTAGTATTGATTACTCATCTTGTTCAATGCCTGTACTTTCCCTAAGTTTGAGTATAGGAAAATCCAGTCATCTGAATAGTGATTGAATGTCTAAACCAGATGCTGTACTAGGCTCCAGGATAATAATAATTCTGATGAACTGCATGGAAACGATGTCAGGATTTTTGGGTTAACATCTATAATCTGTCTTAAGATCTTCTAAAGAAAAGGGTTATAATAATGTAGTAGTACTGTACCAAGAAGAATGTCTTTTAAGATTAACAATGCTCATTGCTTTTTAAAATTCATTTATTTTTCAATTAGAGTTGACATACAATATTACATTAGTTTCAGGTGTACAACACAGTGATTCGACATTTATATAACTTACAAAGTGATCCCCTTGACAAACCTAGTACCCTTCTGACACCATACATGGTTATTACAGTATTATTGACTGTAATCCCTACGCTCTTCTATACATCCCCATGACTGTTCCGTAACACCAATTTGTACTTCTTAATCCCTTCACCTTTTTCACCCATCACCCCAACCCCCAAAATGTTCTTTGTATCTGTGAGTCTATTTCTTTTCCGCTTATTTATTTTGTTTTTCAGATTCCACATGTAAGTGAAATCATATAGCATTTGTCTTCCTCTGTCTTATTTCACTCAGCATAACACCCTCTAGTTCCATCCATTTTCTTGCAGACGGCAAGATTTCATTCTTTGTTATGGCTGAGTCATATTCCATTGTATATACGCATCCCTTCTTTATTGTTCATCTACTGATGGACACTTAGGTTGTTTCCATATCTGGGCTATGGTAAATAATGTTGCAGTGAACATATGGATGTATACATCTTTTCAATTTAGTGTTTGGGGTTTCTTCAGATAAATACCCAGAAGTGGAATTGTTGGGCCCTTCTTTGTCTCTTGTTATATAGCCTTTGCTTTAAAGTCTATTTTGTCAGGTATAAGTATTGCTACTCTAACTTTTTATTTTGTTTCCATTTTTTCTTTCCATCCTTTAGTCTGTATGTGTCTTTTGATCTGAAGGGAGTCTCTTGAGAACAGCCTGTTAGGGTCTTGTTTTGTTATCCTTTCAACCTCCATAGGTCTTTCGATTGGAGGATTTTATCCATTTGCCTTTAAAATAATTGTTGATAGATATGTATTGGCCATTTTGTTATTCATATTTTTTAAATCTTTTTTATTTTCTTTTTCTAGAAAACCCTTTAACATTTCTTGTAATACTGGTTGGCAGGTGATGAACTCTAGCTCTTTCTTCTCTGGAAAGCTCTTTATCTGTCCTTTGGTTCTAAATGATACTTTTGCTGGGTGGAGTAACCTTGGTTGTAGGTTCTTGCTTTTCATCACTTTGAATATTTTTGTGCTAATCCCTTCTGTCCTGCAGAGTTTCTGTTGAGAAATCAACTGACAGTCATGACTGTTTTTTTTAATCTTCATCCAAGGATATGTTTTTATCGATTTTAGAGAAAAAAGAAGGGGGGGAGAGAGAGAATGAGTGAGGGAAGGAGGGAGAGAGAAACATCGATGTAAGATGAGTTGGAAAATGCTCCTTTTTCTATTCTCTTAAAGAGTTTGTGTTATATTAGAATTCTGAATGTTTGACAAAGTAGTGGAACCGTCTGAGGATGGGGTAGTTTTTTAGATGATTTTGAGGAATTGATGATTCAGTGTCGACAGTGAATATAGTGATATTCAGATCTGGTTCTTTTAAATTTTTTGTTGAAGTATAATTGACATTCAGCATTATATTAGTTGTATTATATTGTACAGGTGTACAACTAACAATTCATTATTTGTATACATTATGAAATGATTACCATAATAAGTCTAGTTAACATCTGTCATCATATGTATTTACAATTTTTTTCTTTGGATGAGAACTTTTAAAATCATCTCTCTTAGCAACTTTCAAATATGCAGCATGCTAATATTAACTATAGTCACCATGCTGCACATTACATCCCCATGACTTACTTATTTTATAACTGGAAGTTTGTACCTTTTGACCCCTCTTCACCCATTTTGCCCTCCCCCATGTCTGACAATTACCGATCTGTTTTCTGTATCTATGGGCTTGTTTTTGTTGTTGTTGTTTTATGATTCCACATATAAGTAAGAGCATACAGTATTTGTCTTTCTCTGTATGACTTATTTCACTTAGCATATGTCCTCAAGGTTCACCCATGTTTTTGAAAATGGGAAGATTTTAATTTTTTATGCCTACATAAAATTACATTGTGTGTATGTGTGTGTGTATGTGCAACATTTTCTTTATCTATTACGGACACTTATCTTGTAGTTTACATATCTTGGCTATTGTAAATAATATTTCAAATTATGTTTCTTTTTTTTCTTTTGAAAAATACCCAGGAGTGGATTGCTGGATTATATAGTAGTTTTCTTGTTAATCTGTGGAACCTCTATATTATTCTTCAGAGTGGCTGCACCAATTTCTGTTCCCACCAACAGCACCCAGCGGTTCCCTGTTGTCCACGTCCTAGCCGGCATTTCTTGTCTTTTTGATAGTAGCCATTCTAACAGGTGTGAGGCAATAGCTTATTGCAGTTTTGATTTGCATTTCCCTGATGATTAGTGATGTTGAGCATATTTTTATGTACCAACTTATTTCTTTTGAATTTTCAAACGTATTGTCTGTAATTTCATAATATCCTTAATGTCACAGGATCTGTAGGGATGTCCTCTTTTCCCTTATATTGGTTATTTGATCTTTCCCTTCCTCCCTTCCTTCTTTCTGCCCTCTTTTTTGCTTAATCAATCTTGCTAGAGGTTTTTCAATTTTATTAGTGCGTTCAAGGAACTTTCACTTCATTAGTTCTATGTTTTTTATTTTATTAATTTATGAACTTTTATTATGCTCCGGCATCTACTCTTAAGGTTTAGTTTTTCTGTTGTTTTCCAAATTTCATGTAATGGGTATTTATATTGTATTAATCATTAATCTTCTTCATATGCAACTTTTGTGTATATAGGCTTTAGTTATAGGCTTTAGCTGCATCCCATACATTTTGATTATGTAGTATTTTCATTATCATTTAAAATCAAAATATTTTCTTAGTTTCAATTTGATTTCTTCTTTGACCTATGGGCTATTTAGGAGTATTTTTAAAATTTACAAACATGGAACTTCTAGTTATTTTTATTGATTTCTAGTTTAATTACATTTTTAGAGAATAAGCTCTATATTATTTTAACCCTTTGAAATGGATTGAGGCAAGTTTTAGAAATAGTCTTTATGTGCTTGGAAAGAATATAGATTCTTAAAACTCTATACAATTTCTATTAGTGCATATGTCTATTAAAGTTTTTAAATGTATAACTGAATTTTCTATATCATTTCGATTTTCTATTTGCTTTTTACTGAGAGAGATGTTTTAAAAATCTTTTGTTTTTATTGGATATTTTCCCCTTGTAGTTCTGTTACATTTTGCTTTATATATTTTTAAGCCATGCTATTAGGCATATACAAATTTAAATTGTGAAATTCCTGGTGAACAAAACCTTTTATTATTATGAAGTGACCTTTTTATCTCTAGTAATATTTGTGTTTTGTAAACACTTGGATTTTAAAAAATACCCAAACTGATAATTTTTTGTCTTTTACCTGAAGCATTTAATTCATTTATAAGTAATATAAGTACCTGTATAATTTGGATTAAATCTAACATCTTATTTTGTGCCTTTTTTTTTTTTTTTTGGTTGTGAAGTAATTTTTTAATATTTCATTAACACTTTTTTCTCCTTTTTATTGAAGAGATACATTGGTTAATAAGATCATATAGGTTTCAAGTGTACATTTCTATTTAAATAAATCACATTCTGACCTCAGCCTCTCTCCCTTCCCGCCTGTTCAGTCAGCTACTCCTGCTCTACTTGTTCTCTGGTGTCACAGGAACCTTTTGTTCATTCACCGTTTGCTTTCTCTAACCCATTAGTTCATTTTCGTCTTAACTTCCTTCCATGTCCAGCTCAAATTTCATGATTATTCATCTCAGTAAGGATAAATAACATTCTTCCAAAGCTTTGATTTTCCTGTTTATCTGTCTTTTCTTCATACCTATTTATCTCTCAATGCCCCCAACTGATTTATATTTATCTGCAGTGACCAGCCAAGGACATGCATCAGGGAAGAATAGGTCCTTCATAATTTAGTGATTAAAGTAGCTTTGAAACAGTCCCTGGGATGGTTCAGAAATCCTATAACATTGTTCTTACCAACTTCATTTCTCACCCACAATGACCATTTTAAAACTTCTCTCCTCAAAGCTTCAAGCCTCCCACTATCACTCTCATTCTCATTCTCAGCATCCCCTATTTCAGAGAAAAACTAGGAGCCCTCCCATAGGAGCTCCATCACCTTCCCAACTACCGAAAGTAAAATCCCGTTACCTCTGCACTCGCCTGTTCACCTTCCCTCTTTTACCACAGATTCGCTACATTCCTTCCTACTTGAGGCCACCTCTGCCTCTAGACCTTTGGATTCTTCTCTCTCACCTTTTTCCAAGGTTTCACACTATTTTTCTCTTTTCTGTCATATATTTAACCTCACCTGTTTATTAGATAATTTCGGTCAGTTTTTAAATATGTTCAAGTCTCTCCCACTTACAAAAAATAAATTCCCTGGCATCACGTTCTATTCCAAATACTACTCCGTCTGTCTTCTCCCGGTTTTCTCAAGAGGATTAATTATTCCCACAAACTATTTCTTACACCCCACTGTCTCCGTTACACTCTTACCAGTTTCTAGTCTCATTATTCCACCAAATCAGCTCTTCTAAAGACACCAGTGAGATCCACTTAACATTTTTATTTCTTTTCTTTTTTGATCTCTTCATTTTCTCCTGTTGACCCTTATTTCCTTCTTGAAATACCATCCCCCTTTGACTTTTGTGACCTTTTGCTCTCGTGGCTCTCTCTCCCGCATCTTGTAGTTATTCCCTCTCAGCCTCTGTGACCAGCCACTGAGTGCTGCTTCCTTAAGGCCCAGCCCCAGTCTCTCCTCTCACTCTGTTCTCTTGACCTCGGTGATGCCATCCAAGGCCACAGCTTCCTTATGAGGCCAGCGTGCTTCAGGATATTTGCACATGGCATTTCCTTTACATAGCGTGTTTCCTCAGACCCTCCCCTAATTCATTGTGTAATTATTTTCTACTCATCCTTCACCTGAAGCAAAGGCGTCACCCGCTCCCTTGGCACCTCTGCAACACTTGTGGCAGTTATAATTTACATTCATTTATGTGACTTGTGAAATGATGGGCTCTCCCATTGGAGGCAAGCTCTGTAATGGCAGAGACTGTACCTTTTTTCCTCATTGTAATTTTACCCCTAGCACTTTACAAAAGTCTGAGTACATGGTAGGTGTATAATAATTGTAGAATAAAATAACTAAACGAATAAACATTTTGAATAAAGTGTCTATGGAAAATCGAGATGGGGATTTGCCATGTGTAGTTAAATACATGATTTGGGATCTCAAGAGAGAGGGCAGGGCTAGAGAGAAAAATTTGGAATTGAATTACATGTCAGTGGTAATGAAGCCTTGAGTTGGCTGTAAGATTTCCCAGGGAATGTTTATGAAAAGAGAGGAAAAGAGGGAAGAGTACAAAAACCTTGGGAATATTCACAACAAACTTGTGTTCACAGAGAATGATTCATCAAAGGACCTAAGAGTGTACATATGTCATCTGCATGCTGCAGATTTTTCCTTGGCAATTCTAATTTTAATATTCTGCCCTTTAGATTAACATGTTTCACAACCACATTTTTCACTCAAAAAATATGTACAACATCTACAAGGAAAACAAATCTAAATCTAATTTTAACACTTAGCTTATTAATTATAATGTAATAATTAGTATTAATAATTATGTATAGTGAGTAATAAGACTGGCTTATTATAATATCTGCAACAAGGAATTAAGTATCCTTAGAAATGATTAGTATACACAGCAATTATATTTTCCCTGGTTTGTAATCTTTTTGAACTGTGCTTCTAGAAATTTGCCTAAATGTAAATGATATGTTTAATATTTATTTACTTATTTTTTAGCCTGAAAGTACTTTATTGATTATCTGTGAGAATGGCTATGTCCTTGAAGCTCCACTTCCAACCATAAAGGAGGAAGCGGTGGATCACGATGTAGTTTCCTACGAAATCAAAGACATGCACATAAAATGTTTCCATTTTTCAAGCGTCAAATCTAAGATTATGGTATGAGATATCCTTGAAGCATTATCTTCTAATATTTTTTTCTTTCTTAGAATATAAAACATCCTGTGTTAAGTGCTGGGAAAATACAAAGAAAAATAAGACACAGACCCCGTATTTGAAGGCAATAATGAATAGATATTAAAATCGCAGTGCAAAGAATTTGAGGGGAATGCAGAGAAAAGAATATGTGATTCTTTAAAAAAATTTTTTTAAATATTTTTTATTGATTTCAGAAAGAGGAAGGGAGAGGGAGAGAGAGAGACAAGCATCAAGGATACGAGACAGTCATTGATCAGCTGCCTCCTGCACGCCCCCTACTGGGATCAAGCCCACAACCCGGGCATGTGGCCTGATGGGGAATTGAACTGTGACCTCCTGGTTCATAGGTCGAAGCTCAACCACTGAGCCACGCTGTCCGGGCTGATGGGAGGGTGAAAGGAGGCCAAGGATGACTTTATGGAGGTGATGTTCAGTACTTAAGGAATGAGAAGAGTTTTGAAAGGTTGAAAATGAGGAGGAAGGCAGTAAAAGCTGGGAGAAAAAGCCTGAGGGAAGGTGGACTTGGGTTTGGTGTTTAGGGGAAATGAAGAAGGGACTGATGAAACAGAGGGATGCTGTTTGTGGCTGGATGTGGCAAGACTGTGACAAGACTGTGACCAACATATAGGACTCCTTAAATACTAGTCGAGATGTTTCAACTTATTTCTTGGACCATTGGGATCCATTGTGAGTTTTTGACGAGGGGATTGATGCAATGAGATCATGTAAATTAGGAAGATAATTCTGGGAGGTAAACAGAATAAAGAGGTAACAGATGGGAGGCAGGGGTGCCGGAGTTAGGAGCCTTTTGCCGTACATAGCCAGTTGGTAGATGCTGAGGGCCCGAATCACATTTTTACTAAAAGTGTAAATAACTTCCCTCATAGACTATTTCAGCCTGTTACCAGAAAAGGGACCTGGCCCTTAGCAGGTCTGCGTAGGGCCGGCCGGTAGTATGTGGATTCCCGACTTCCTGTAGGAAAAATTTCACAGCATGAGTCCAGGTGAATTTTAGAGGATGTTTATTAAAATTGGGGACAGTGAAGCAAGAAAGGGCTGAGGAAATGAGCCTAGGCTGGTCTTCTTTGGCTCACTAAGAAGTCAGAAAAAGGGGGCCTTGGGGACAGGTTCAGGGGTTGCCCAAGAAGAACTGTTGCTGCCCATTGCTGCCCTGGTGGTCCCTTAGAGTTTAGGAGACGTGTGCCTGGGGGGGGAGGGGAAAGGTGTGGGCATTCTCCCTGGAAGGGGAGCTCCCTGGGACCTTAGCTTTGAGGGCTTTTAAAGCCTGGGCATTTAGGGGAGGCCTGAGGGGAGGATCTCAACAGAGTATTCACCAGCTTTACGATAATGTGTCAAAATGAGATTGATTCCCTTAACCTTATCCGTCCTTGGGTGTGGTTGGCAAATGGCATTAATTGGGTTTCTGCTATCTGTCTCCCTGAATGGGGCCATTTAAACTATTTACCCACTGGTTGGGGAGGAGAAATGCAAACCATTTACCCTTAAGTGTCTTTGGTTTAGGGAGGATACGGTTTACTAGATGGCTGCAAGCTCCCGTCTAGCTATCCGTCTCAGTTTCCCCATTCCACTCGCCAGGGAATTTTCCTGTCTCCTTACTCTCCTGCCTCAAGCCCACCTAATTTATGGTCTGCGAGGGATAGACTATGAGAGAAATTATTCAGCTTCTTTATTAGGGGGGGGAAAAAAGATGAAATAATTTCTGTAAAACCAGGATCGATGGGGGTAATACAGAAATAAAGTTATCCCAAAGATTTGAAAAACTTAGTGATAAAAATATATCCTCCCCTCGACGTGCATCGAGTGTGCGGGGCCTGCGCTCCCTCTGCGTCCCCAGCAGTGTGCATGGCCCAACGGGCGAGAGCGGTCCTCACGTCTCCTTAATCTCTTTCTGCAAGAGATTTATAGAAATTGAAAAGCGAAAGAAACGCAAGGAGCTGAAGGAGAGGGAAAAGGAAGAGAGGAGGAAGCGCCTGGAGGAGGCGGGAGAAGACGAAGACAAGGACTCGCAGGAGGAGGGGGAGGAGGGGGACGAGCCGGAGGAGCCACTGCCCGAGATCTTCGTCCCCGACGGCCCCTGTCACATCCTCTGTGGCTTTTACTCCGCGCCAGGGAAGTTCTGGGTTTCTTTGGTGAGTAATAATGTAGTAAATGACGGTTACGCCGTCTCTAACCCGGTATATTCTGCAGTTCATTATTTTCCAGTACATGTTTACTTTCTCACCCTGACCGGAAGGCTTCATCTGTTAATTACCATTAACGATGTGGAGTTTGAGGGCTGAATGTGAGTTAGTTATTTTTATGTCATCTTAACGTACCTGTCACATGTCTATTGTTGTGTCTGTCATCACCTATGACAAGCATTCTCCGTGGTCCGGGAGGTCAACGGGGGGAAGAACCGGAGGTAGAAGGGCAAAGGGCTACGGGGTTTTCCAGCTGAGTCTGTTGTTTATAAATTTTGAAAATAATTAGCATCTTGAAAATCACGGCAGTGCTGTCCAGCAGGCTTTTGCTTACATTTTGTTATCTGCGACTATGCTGTGCGAACATGTGGACGTCTGGGAAGGTGACTGTTTTTGGATGGGCACAGTGCCACCCTGAACAAAACTGGAGCCTGGCTAATAAAGAAGAATAGGAAAATGGGGGTTGGGGAGACGGGTACCAGGGACTGTCACAGTGATGTGACGATGACATCCTCTCATATATTCTATTTTTATAAAACATTTCCTTGATCTATTGCAAAGCAAGATTTCCTTCATTTTAAATTTGTCACAGATTTCAATTCTATTCATCAAAAAAGTAATAACTGACATAACAGTGTATGTGGAGGGTTATCACTAATTCCTAACTGGCCCAGGTCTCTGGCAAGGTAAGGACCATTGCTACAAAGAGTGACGATGCTTAACCTCTCCCGTCTTCAACTTGTCCTAGAGATATATGTTGGATAGCAACTTGTGAGGGGGCAAGTAGGACAAAAAGTAGTGATGGAAGCACCTTAGAACTTCATTTATTAGTGCCTTTGCCCTTTGTCTGTCTTCTTTGTTTTTATGAAACAATTAAACTTTGGCGGGTGGGGTAGGGGTGGTTCAAGAGGTAAAGGGATAAGTAAGACATGGTTCCTGCCCTCTGGTAAGTTTCCTCATAATCATGTAGGAGAGAGGCATAGAAACAACTGGAGTGTAATGTAATAGAGTTCTAGTGTCCTTGAAACATACATGCAAAAGTTGTAATTTAACCAGTATATTTAGTGCTTACTCTTAGGGCTGCCAAATAAATATTACATGGGACGTACTTACACTAAAAAATTCTCTGTTCATCTGAAATTCAAATTTAACTGGGCATCCTGTATTTAAAAATCTCCCCCACCCCCATTTTATTGAAATATAATTTGACATACAGCACTGTGTAAGTTTACAGTGTACATACAGCATAGTGCTTTGATTTACACATATGTTGAAATGATTACCACAGTAAGTTAACATCCATCCTGTATTTTTATTTGCTAATTATGGGAACTTATCTTGTACCAGATACCGTTCTGAGTGATCTTCCCAACTACCCTGTAAAATAATTGCTCTTATTTGCATTTTACATAAGAAGAAACCAAGGCATAGAGAGGTTAAGTAACTTACCCAAAGTCATATATGAGAAGTAGAACTGTTGCAGGCAGCAGGAACAGCACCAGGTTTTAGACCCATGAGGTCAGACGGGACCTGGGTTCAACAACCTCAGTACTTGAGTTCTGGCTAGGAAAGACTCAGACTAACAGAACATATGTTTATAAAATCACAGAGGTGGAAGAAGTAATTCCTAGAAGAAATGGGTTTAGGAAGCAAGTTATAGAGGCAAAGGAAGGACCCTTGGAGCTTAGAATTGAGGAAGGTGATGGTAACCTACCTGAGGGGGTGAGGAGGGGGAGACAAGGGCATGCTCCTTGGGGGGAGAGTGAGCTGGGTCCTTCATCCTAAGGGTTTTAGGGGTGGAGATCTTAGGGGAGGTCCCAGGGGAAGATCTCGGTAGAATATTCAGCAGCTTTCCAGGTGTGTCCTTTCAGGGTTGTGGTCTCCGCTGATGGATTGGTTGGTGCCAGGGCAGGGGATCATTATTCAATGCAGCTGGTCCTGAGGTCAGCCATGGTGTTGCTTGTCTGAGTCAGGGTCTAAAGTCCATGCTCTTACCCATGAAAATACACCGACGTGTAAGGTTGTTATAGTTCACAGAGGCAGTGACAGTAATTCTTCTTGATCCAGCTGTTTGCCAACTGTGCCTACATGAAAGCAGATGCTGTAGAAAACCAGTCTTCTTTTGAAGTCATGACCACAGTGTTCAAATCAGTACTCAAACTGCAGGCTGGTTCTACTGTCCAGCCATGTTCACTTTCCCACTTTCCAAATTTTGTTTTAATTCATTCTTCTCCTCTCAAACATTTTGCACCTTCTCTCACTTTCCATTGATAACCTCATCTCACATTTCACTGAGAAAATAAAAGCAGTCAGTTGGAATTTCCTTATCTTGTCTCAATAGGGATCCATACAAGTTTTATCTGCTTTGCCTGTTGCTACAAACCTTGAATGATCCCCTACAACTTCCCAAGGACACTGCTCTAGATGGCCTCTTGATCCCATCTCCTTAGTTTCTTAAAGATTTTGCCCCTGAAATAGGCCACCATCTTACTTACTGTTTCTATTTATCATACCAATTCTGTGTTCCCCTTTTCACCTATTGGATGATTAAGGCCTTTACCCCCCATTTTTCTCTTCTTTTAGGTTACTAGTTATACATTCTTTTACTGTTCTTTTAGAGGTGATCCTAAAGATCATGATATGCATCCTTAACTTTAATACAATTTGATATAAATTTATTCTTTTACTAGTCCTAGAGAAAAAAGATCTTACAGCACTTCATTCTATGTATCTTCCCTCATTGTCACATATTTTATTGTTATATATGTATTTGTGTCCCCAAAAGGCATTTTACTATTTTATATTCTCAGTATCATTTTGGTTTATCCATTTTTTTTGCCATTGGTCTCTTTCTCTATCTTTGGCATTACATCTTCTGCCTGAAAAATAACCTTTAATATTTTCTTTAGTGTAGGGTGTGGTAGTGACACATTCCCTAGGATTCGTCATGACATATATAATTCTGTTATTAAATACTGCTTATTCAGGATAATACTTGAAATATAATGGGATTCAGTAGGTAGTCAGAGGTGAGAACTCTTCTATTGACTTAAAGTGGAAACAAATCATCATAAGGTGTTTTATTATTATAATTGTATAGTTGCATATAAATGGACAACGGAGATGCTTTGTAAAACCTATCTATAATTTTAGAAATCATATAAAGTAGATGTTTTAAGACACCTGTATTCTTTAAAATTTGAAATAATCAAAAACTTTTCATGTTGTCAGATGTGTCTTATATTGAAGTACCACCTTCTTTGTTATTTATCCCTTTTCCAGGGCGGCTATAATTCTGGCTTTCTATATCATTGCGAGTTCCCTCCATATGACAAAAGTAGTGATATCACAAAAAGGAAAGATGAACCTTTTGATTTCCGTTTTCTTGAGGATACAGAAGATAATCCCATCAAAACCATCATTTTCAGGTGAACAGAATTTCAGAAAGCTTTTTTTAAAAAAAATAACCCATTGTTGCCTGTGTTTTTGTCCATTGTGAATATTGTCAGTTTTTAAAGGTCTGTCCAAATGGAGGGGCACTCAAACAAATAAATAAAAAGACTAAATAGAATCAAAGCTAATCTTTTTTTTTTTAAATATAGCTTTATTGATTTCAGAGAGAGGAAGGGAGAGGGAGAGGGAGAGGGAGAGATAGAAACATCAATGATGAGAGAGTCATTGATCAAGCCCACAACCCCGGGCATGTGCCCTGACCGGGAATCGAACCCCAATCGCCTGGATCCCAGGTCGACGCTCAACCGCTGAGCCACGCCCGGCCGGGCCAAAGCTAATCTTAAAACTGTATTTCAATCCATCCTATCAAATTTCCTGTCAAATGCTGTTTATCACACAATTGAATTGTATGGATTTACTCTGTTATTTAGGAGGATTCTACCTTATGGTCAGATAATGTAGGTTCAGGGTTATGATTCTGGAGAAATCACAAATTGAATTATTACTCCTTTCATAATTATGAATTAAGCTTATATGCCAGTCATCCTTTTGGAGACCAAATGCAATAGCTCCAACTTTCAAATAGGCTTTTTTCCCCTCTACCCTTTTGTATTAGTTCACTTGGGCTTCCATGGTTTGCTAGGGCTTCAACATGTGAATTTTGAGGGTGACATAATTTAGTCCATAATGCCTTTGTTACTAAAAATTTAGTCATATGAAGAACAATTTGCTTTCTTTTTGTTTCATAGTATTAACCAAGATATTATGTTTTGTGGAATGCAAGATGGAGCAATTCGACTCTATATCCTAAGTCCGAATGACTCTTCATTGACCACTATGGAACACTACTGGCACTTTAATGTGCATGACAATACTTATGGATGTGTTAAAAGCATTTCTACTAGCTTTGATGACCGTTTTTTTGTGACTGTTGGAGCAGATAGTAATATCTTTGTTTTCAACATTTTTTCTGTTTATGAGTTAAAAAGTATGAAAGCCAAAGTGCCGTCTCCCAGGGTATGTATATAACTAACAAACCAACCAACTAACAACAAAACCCTTTATTTTAAAATAGTGATGCTAAAATTGTTCATATTCTTTAAAAATTGAAAACTACTTAGACACATTTACTTTATAGGCTTTCTATTAGTATTATAATCTTGACTTGCTGGTGTCTTTTTCAAGATTAAAGATGTTGAATTCCTCTGATTACTAAAGGTATAGAATTCCCCAAGTTAAAAAGACTGTGTTAGTTTCTCTGTAGTAATCACTAGATCAAAGTTTATTTTCAAAATGCACATTTATTTTCCAGATATGTATTTTGATTTTTATTCATTCACTCACCGAAGGGGCATATATGAAATGTACACCATAATTTGTGCCTTTGAAAGGGGTTGTAAAAATATTAGTGCCTGTGGCACTAATTAGAATATGACAGTGTGGATCAGGATTGGAGATTCAGTTAAATTATTCTATTCTTAAACAGAATGCAGATTGAGGGTTTAGATCCCCAAATTATATCCTTTGCCCTGTCATAGGACCTGAATTTTCTGTTATCAAAGTGGTTCCTTTAGATAAAATTATTAATAACTGTTGGAATTGCTCTGGGAATAAGGAATTGTATTAGAAAAACCAGAGTTAAAATTCCTATGAACACATTGGCTTCCCACTTAACAGGTAGCCAACTTCCAAAGAACATACAAAGAACATAGGGAAGATTTGAGCACATAAATTTGGAGAATGGACTGTTGTCTAAAGAGGTCAGCTCAGGAAGAGGAATTATAGAATGGGAAAGTATATGAACAAGATGAAGATCTTTATCATTCTACCTAGTGTCAGCTCTCTCTGGAAACCCGTATTGGAGAGAAAAAAATACATTCCACATTTGTATAATAGTGTCCTTTTATTTATGACTGCAGTCAATATTTCTTAAATCACTGAAGCAGACTCTCCTCTTAAGAACGCACAATCAGAAGGAATTTAATAAACAAACAAAAAACTAAGCTCTGCCTAGGCCTGAGGCTCTTACTTTATTGCACAGTACCTTAGAATCAGCTAGGGAGCCCTTAAAAGTACAGAGGCCTGAGCCCTACCCAAGAACAATTAAATCAGAACCTCTGAAGGCGAGGCCCAGGCATCCATACCTCTCCCTTTCCCGCCTCTGTGATTTTAATGTGTAGCCAGGACTGAGAGCAACTGGCATACATATTGGAACTGTTGGGAGCACCTTTGTTTCAACTCAAACTTATCCTAAGCAGCTGAGGCCAGGAGATCCTGGAAATCAAACTACTTTGGAGAACTAAGGGGCTTATCTCTGGGTAGTAAAAGAATAAAAATAACTAAAATTCAGTCAAGTTATGTCCTAAGTGATTAACGGTAACTGTGGTGTATTGGCCATCACCGTCTCACACTGGTCATGATTTATGACTTCACCTTTACTAAAGTCATAGACCTGTCTTACGTAAAAATATGTAGACTCACGTTTCATGCATATAAAGACCATAACCAAACAACTTGATCAAAAGAGAGCCTTTGTGCCTTTACAATGAATGACAGCGAAGCAGAGACCTGTCTGTTATGAAGGAGAACAGAGAATAAACAAGTTGGATTTTGCCTACGAGCTGATTCGCTAGTGCACTAAGCCTCTGTGTCTGGCTCACGGGCTCTGACTCCTCTGCGCTGCACCGAAGCGGGTTTCGGCCGGGCTCCTGAGTAAACTGCTGAGTGACTTCCTCACGGGACCCCTTCCTTTAAACTGGCCACCTTTCTCAGAGGAGACTCCTAGGTCTGATCTCATGTCTTCCTCAAAGAGGGGGGGTATATTATTCTGTGCATTTCCCACTGTATGCCTTGTTATAGTAAGGTCCAGTGGAATGCTTACTAAAGATTAAGAATATGTTTAAAAATCTGTCTAGTGTACACATCTGAGGTATTTGGGGGGAATTATGTATGCATAAAAGGGGTATGCTAATAAAAGACTTTTAAAATCAATGAGAAAAATTTTGTTTGTATTCTTTGCTAATAACACATGAATATTAGTAACTTACATTTTGGAGGGGCAATATGGTGATATTAACATTTCGTGTACGTGTGATTAAGTTTCAAGACTTTCTCTACCTACCCTTTTGATGAAGCAGAAACATAAGTTTAGTCAACTGCAATATTCTCCCTAGTTGTTGTTGTTTTAATCCTGACCCAAGGAGTGAGGATATTTTTTCCATTGATTTTAGAGAGAGTGGAAGGGAGAGGGAGAGGCAAGGAGAGAGAGAGGAACATCTATGTGACAGAGACACATCGACTGGTTGCCTCCCACATGCGCCCCAACCAGGATCAGACCTGCAACCCGGGTACAAACCCTTGACCAGGAAGCAAACCCACTACCCGTTGGTGCTCAGGCCAATGCTCTGGGGCCACGCCGGCCAGGGCACTCTTATTTATTTTTTGCTAAAATACTTTTCAGGCCTACAGTTGCTAGAATGTGGCAGGGGAAAACCCCTCAATTTATGATTAGATATTTTAAGGAAAATACGCAATTTAAAAGGACTAACATTTTATTCCTCTTCCTACAGTTTGGAATTGAAACAGAGCCAATTCCAGACGATATTGAAGATCCCAAAGCTTTCAGGTATGGGAATTTTTTATGAATACCTACTAGACCTGAGCTTTTACAAAACAAACCAACATTTTGCAGAAGTTGACTAAGCTAAATAAATTTCCAAATATTTTAATACTAATTTTCTCTCTGCTGTTTCTGTATCCTAACTTGTTGTCCTTTTGAATTTCTGTTTCCAGCATAGAGGATGCCAGAAGAAAAAGAGAACATGACAAGTTAATGAAAGAAGTGGCAGAAATAAAGGCCAAGAAGAGAGAACAACTCGGAGCTTTGAGGAATGAATATCAGAAACTATTAGAAATGAATGACCAGTTACCAAAGCACATGCAGTTTAAACGGACAGTAAGCAAAAAATAAATTTGATTTTAGTTTTAACGTGCTATTTCTGGTTTGAAATAAGTAGGAACACTTAAAATCATCTTTAAGCTTCCATTTATCTGGCCTGTCAGTGTGTTGGCAGCAACTAAACCACTGTAGAACTTGTCTTACAACTTAGTTTGGATGCAGAGGAACCTCTTAATACAAAGTTTACTTCTGGACTTAGCTACCTTAGCTTTTTTGATAAGATACAAATATAGATTTGAATCTGGTTATTGACTCTTAGTCATATGTAGTCAAGATATCTAACTATTGAATAGGTAGGTACATACAGGGTGTCCCCCAAAAGTATATACATATTTTGAATGATTATAAAGTCAGTGTTTGTTAGCATACTGCTTATTTTCAAAATTTAAAAGAATCTACAGAAATGAATAATTGTTTTGGTCAATGCCTGTTTTCAAAATGATGACTGTTCTGGTCCAGGCACTGCTGATAATGCGAAGCAATGGAATTACAAACATCAAGAATCATTTCGTTCAGTATTTGTGTGCCCGCAATTTGTCAGCTGTTGCTGGTTTTGTACCGTAAACTTTCTCTCTTAGGTATCCCCATAAAAAAAGTCTAGTGGCACCTTAGGATAAATTTTCTTTGTTCAAAGCTTAGTCTGGCTTCATTCATTATTTCAAATCAGTTAAACCTGAAAAGAAATGAAAATTAAATGAGTTATCAGCTGTTAAAGTGTGTATGCATTTTGGGGGGATACCCTGTATATACAAAATTTGGTTCTGGGTGGTCCATTTCTATAATTAATCAGATCTGTTGAAAAGATGATACCTGATTTACCCACAAAGTTTCTGAAAGATAACTTAGTATATTTGTAGCTATGGGGGTGATCACTTAATTGTTTAAACAAATTTTACATTAATTTTTTTTCTTTTGTGACTTATTGCAAAGCCCCATCTACCTGTTAGGGATTTTTTTTTTTTTTTTCATTTTGTACTTCTTCCTAAATGGAAGTACTGTCAAGAGCCTAATAAAATAAAAACCTAGAATTCATCATCCTGACTATATCCATGGGTAAACCAGTCCTATCATTGTAGAGGCACCTAGGCAATTTCAAATAAAAAAATGCTTTGGTGAAGCCCTAATAGTTAACTCATATCGGTTAAAAGATGTTAAGCTCTTTTACTAAGAAAAAGGTAGACCCTGGCAGAATATGGGTAACATGATTCAAATTAAAGAGGAACTGAGGCCAGTTCTGTGGTTAAGCACTTTACGCACATCATTACTTAGAACACCCGCACCTCTGGAAAGAATAATTACTACTCCCAATTCAGTGTGAATGAAGCCCTGGCATTTACAGGAGTGAAAGTGAAAAAAAACATGAAGCCCCTTAAGTATCCTTATGGGGAAAATAGCACCCTTGGTAAAGGACATTCAACCAGAACTTGGTGATGTTAAGAAGATGCCAGACTTTGCCGTCTTTCCTGGGTAGGGTCACGTGGGGGTGAAGGGAATATAGTTTTTAAAACTTTGCAAGGGGAGTATTTTTTTAAGCTTTGTGTAGTCTTTAAATATTCTGTTAGCATTCATTATTTTTATTGTGAGAAAAATCGTTGAGAACTTCATTTGCATTATTGTTAATTATTTCTGAGAACTGTTTTTTCCATTTTTTGTGGAAGCAAGATCAAAAGTATGTAATTTCCTTCTAGAATGGAGAGAGTTTATGATATTTGGTAGAGAGTAATGATGCTGCATGAAATTGAGGATGAAACTTAAAAACGTGTATGATATAGAATTGATAAAGTACACTGATAAAAGTACCCATTTTGATGAACAAATCTACCTATCTGCAGGATTTTGATATAGATTCCAAAATTCGTACGGACATTAACAGAAGAACAGCTTTTAAAATTCAACAAGTGGAAAAGGAATTAGCTTGGGAAAAAGAGAAATATCAACTTGGCCTAACGAAGCTGCGGCATAGGTAGGATTCATATTTCTTGCAACTTAAGATGTGTGAGAGAATATATTAGAATAAGATAGTTTATAATGGCTTAATCGAAGTGGTCAGATAAGAGGTCTCCTGAAATACACATTCACTCTTGAAATCTCAAGGAATCTTTTCTTATCAGTCCTACTAGTATCTTCCTGAGCTTTCTGCTCANATAGTTTATAATGGCTTAATCGAAGTGGTCAGATAAGAGGTCTCCTGAAATACACATTCACTCTTGAAATCTCAAGGAATCTTTTCTTATCAGTCCTACGAGTATCTTCCTGAGCTTTCTGCTCCTTTCTAGTTTAAATCTGAGAAATTTGTTTAACAATTAGATTTTTTACAAACCAAATTATGTAATACGTATTTGCTTTCTGTTTTGGAGAAATTATTTTTTATCCAATTGATAAAACAGCATGTAAATATTAAAAAAACAAACTAAAATAGAATCAAAGAACTTAAAATGAAAAACATGTAGGAGATGATGCTCCAGCCAGCTGAGCCACCTGGCCAGGGCTAAAATGCAAAATCTTAATTTAACAGATTGATAAATTTTTACAGATGTATAAACACATATATTTGATACCCAGATTAAAAACATAACACTCCAGAAAGTTCCCTCATGATCCCTTCCAATAAAAATTTACTCTCCAAAACTGAAAACCACCATAGATTAGTTTTTTCTGAACTTCATCTAAATAAAATATTGTAGTATGAACTCTTTGGTATCTGGCTTCTTGGTAACACGCCTAAGGTTATCCATGTTGTTGCAGGTTGCAGTAGCCCATTCTTTTTCATTGCTTTGTAATATTCCATTAAACGACTATACCACCATTTATTTATGCATTTAACTGTTGATAAATAGTTGAGTGGTCTCTCCATTTTTTGGCTACTATGAGTAATGGAGCTATGGACATTCTTGTGCATGTTTTTTTGATGGATGTAAGCACTTCTGTTTGCTATTTAAACAGGAGTGGAACTGCTGGGTCCTAAGTTATATGCATGTTTAACTTTATTAGACACTACCGAACAGCCTTATAAAATGGTTCAAGCAGTTTATACGCTGATCATCACAGTATGAGAATTTGAGTTGATCCCCATATTATTTGTTTCCTAGGACTTCCATGACAAAGTACCACAGACTGGTTGGCTTAAAATAACAGACATTTACTGTCTGATCATTTTGGGCGCTGGAAGTCTAAGATCAAAGTGTTGGCTAAGTTGTTTTTTACTGAGAGCTGGGAAGGAGACTCTTTTCCAGGTCGGGTCTCTGGACTACTGGTGGTTTGCCAGCGATTAGTGGTGTAGATGCATCACTCCATGCCGTCTGCCTTCACATAACCCTTCCTCTGTGTGTGTCCACATTGCCTCTTTAAAAAAAAAAAAAATTATATATATATATATTTCAGAGAGAGGAAAGAGAGGAAGGGAGAGGGGGAGAGAGCTAGAAACATCAATGATGAGAGTCATTGACAGGCTGCCACCTGCACGCCCCCTACTGGGGATCCAGCTCGCAACACGGGCGTGTGCCCCAACTGGGAATCAAACCATGACCTCGTGGTTCACAGGTCAACACTCAACCACTGAGCCATGCCGGCCGGGCTCCACATTGCCTCTTTTTATAAGGACACNCGGGCATGTGCCCCAACTGGGAATCAAACCATGACCTCGTGGTTCACAGGTCAACACTCAACCACTGAGCCATGCCGGCCGGGCTCCACATTGCCTCTTTTTATAAGGACACCAGTCATGTTAGAACCCATTTTAATGATCTCATTTCAACTTGAATACCTCTGTCAAGACCCTATTCCAAATAGTCATATTCTGAGGTACTGGGGGTTAGTACTTCAACATTTCCTTTGAAGGACACAATTCAACCCATAACACTCATGCTTTTCATCACTTGGTACTTACTGTCCGTTCCTGAAATCCTAGGCATTGGCATTTCCCTGATGAGTAATGATTTTCATCTCTTTCCTGTACTTATCGGTTATTTGTATCATCTCTTTTGTTACGTGTTTGTTCAAGTCTTCAAGAAATAAGAGTTAAAACGGTTGAAAGGATTGAGTTAGAAAAACAGTAAGAAAAGCAAACAAGCTAGAAATAATTGCTATATAGATAAATGAGTTAAACTTGAAAATTTAAACATGGGGGAATAATTATGAACTAGGACCAAAAATAGCAACAATTTAATTGATGAACTTTTAAAAGATAAATCTCTCTGGCTATATGAGAAAAGTGAACTAAAAAGTAGTATGAATTTCTGAGCTTAATGTTTTTTATAGAGGCAAATAGGGTAATAGGATATATATGAGATATCTGATAGATATCCATCTCACTATTATTTATAATATATGATATATATAATGAGAGAGATGTATATATAATAGGAGTTAATAGATAGGGAAGTAGGTTACATTTTCTCTGTTTGATATAATCCATTTACCATTAAACTGAAGTTAGCTTGAAAATTTTTTATTTTCTTCAAACAATTAGCAAAACAGTGATATTATACTGATTAATAATGGGTTGTTCAGTACTTTCATTAGAAAGAAAATTCTCCTTCTTCTTTAACCAAGTCTTATCCAGCTTCCGTCACATCCTTGTTGGTATGTGCATGGTTAAATTTTGGATCCAGTGTGCTATAATGGATTATTTATAAGTACAGTGCTTTGCAGTCTTATTTTATTACCTAATAATCCTGTAGAATGATTAAAATGGCGACTGCCGCAGGTGCTTGTTTTCTTTTTCAGGTTCCGCGACTCCCTGGAAGGCGATGTCATTGTGGTTCGCGCCATACAGAGCGACCACAAGGTGTCCTCCTACCGGCTCGTGAAGCCCTCCAAGTACTCCAAATCCAAACGGCCCAGCCACTTCGACAGAAGAGCGAGCAAGATGGAGAGGTTTGAGAAAGAGGGAGCTGGGAGGAAGGAGAGCCAGCGAGATACAGGTAACGAGAAGCCTTTTATGCCCTCCCTTGTTAAGATTTCGAAGCCGAGCTGTGTTTCGGTAGGTGCAACCCTGGAGTGCTCCTCGGGGCCTCGAGCTCAGCCTCTTGCCTCCCCCTTTATTCCTTTAGAGTAAGTAACCAAAGGAACTTGGTGCGGCTCCCGCAAACGCTCCACGCCAGCTTTCCTATTTGACACAGGCTGCTGAAGAAAAGCCACCCTGGCCTTGTGACTGAGAGGACACGAGCACTCCATGCTTCCCGTAGCCACCTGCTCTTAAATCCAGGACTTCCCCAGATGCTAGTTTCCGGGCATTGTTTCTTCCCAGATCCCTGGGCTCCACCTCGGAGTGTGGGGCGAGAACACGGCATTTCAAACTGATTTCCAAGAGCATGTGCTTTAAGCAGACCGATGAGCTGAGAGTACAGACGTGAAAATAGTCCCTCTCATTCCTGCGACCTGCCTCTTGTCCCCACCCACAGGGTGACTGGAAGGAAGACAGGGATTCGGGGAATGGCCTGGAGGGCCCAGTCAAGAGCAAATAAGGGGCTGTGTAGCCTGGCCAGGTGTGGACCAGTGCCGGGGACACGGTCCTGACCTTGAAGCTGGCTTACCCTCTTCATGGAGGGGCCTTGAACGGCTCTCTTCTGCCTCTAGGATAAGCTCTGAAACCATTATCCCAGTATTGTGTGTCCCTAGTCTCTTTCCTGTTCATGGTGTGGGTGTGTTCTCATACTGTTCAACTTGTATTTTTAGCTCATTGTCCTGCTTGCTGCTCCATAATTATGCCTGATGCTTCCATATGCAGGCTCCGTCTAGAGTGACCAATTCACTCTTCTCTCTGAGTTTTACCAGTTCATGGGGACCCAGACTGAATTACACTTCTTTATATAAAGCTTTTCCATGGCCATCCAGACCACACTAGACTCTTCCTTTCCCATACTGTTATATATTTGAAATGTGACATGGCGAGTTAGAACTATGTGACCATCTCATGAACTTTTTTCATGTATCTCTAAAGTATATCCCTATGTAGCTTGAACACGAATTGAGTAATTCCCCTGGTAGATACTTATTAGTTGATAAAGCCAATAACTCCCACCCCTTTCCCCAGAGGAAGTAACTTTCATTGGTGTTATCTCCGGAAACTAGAAAGACCATATATCCACTTTCAGTCACCCCCCTATCCCTGCAGAGGAAGGGATATAAATTGCCTTTTGCTTTTCTAAAGCCCTAGTCTTTCCTCTCCCTCTGTAGCCTTAGAAATTCAGTAGCAATATTGGTTTTTTTGTTGTTTTCAGCAATGCCTGCTGCAGCTACATAGTAGCCATGGGTGAAGGAGTGTGAGGGAAGTAGTTGGATGAAGAAGAGGGATGCACAGGGAACAGGAAGGCAGCCTGTCAAAGGGCCGTCTGTCCAGCCTTCAGTGGTTGCATTTCTCCTTATGCTGAATCACGTCCAGGATTTCCACCGCCAGCTATGGACCCAGCCCCAGAGCCGGGAGATGAGCTAGTCTCATGGGCACGTTCTGGTCCTCAGAGGCTGACGGCGATCAGTCAGACATATTTTGCCGCCCTTATATGTATCTTTGCTGTTTTTCCATCCAGGTCGGGGACTGCAGTTTCTGGAGCAGTCGTGGGATATGGGATAGGAATGCCAAACTCATTTGAGGAGATCATGAATGCACCAGCATTTTCCATCCCACCCAGTCCCTTCCTTGTTGTACTTCCCTGGTTGGTTCGGTGGGAACCAGTCATTGTCGTTCTTGTTGTTTTCCACACACTCGACAAGAGACTGATATTCCTCCTTGAGCCACTGCACCCACAGCTCCTGATCTCCTGATCTCCTGATCTCCTGATCTCAAGTCCGGCATTATTTTCAGCACCAGGATCTCAGACACGACATGCTGGGTGGCCTTGTCTGTCATCTTGAACGAGGGCCTAAATCCAATAACTTTAAAATTATAGATTGGATTGTATGTTTCTGACCAGTTTTTAAATTGACCACAGATCCCTGCAGTTGGGATCTCAAATTATACATCTCAAATAGGACTCACTTGCTTTCTTTTTCCCTTACTATTATATCACAAACAGTCCTGCTCAGCTTCCCAACGTACAGGGTGCTCCCCCGAAATGTACACACACTTTAATGGCTGATAGCTCAATATTGAAAATGGAATGTATTTTAATAAACACTGCCTTTATAATCAAAGTGTGTGTATACATTCTTGGGGGACACCCTGTATATGTCAGTGGCCCATTGTTATTTATCTCTCTCTCTGATTGTTTAATACATATGTTTTATCTTGCCAACTTTTCAATAAGTTCCTTCAAAGCAAATATTCTTAGATCTCTTTATTTTGGTATTCTAAAATACTTATTATGGGGTTGAATTTATGGTAGTTGCTTAATAAATACTGTGATTTACAGGTTCATTACATTACCTGGATTTTTAAAAAATGTGATAGGTTGAAAACAATATTTGTGAATTTAATTTTGATGTTTCAAAAAGATTGAAAAAATTGTTGACTCTCTGTACCAGGTGGGAGCATTAGTGTCCCAGAAGAATCAATTGTAGAAAAAGGGAAGGAATTTCGGCCTAAGACCCTAAGTCAAATTATGGTGGACAATCAAATTGAGAAAACGAGGAAACTTATATTAAAAGCCGAAAGGGCCCAGCAAAAGATTCATCAGCGAAAAAAAGAATGGGATGAACTGTAAGTTTTTTATGTAAACTCTTTTATTTTAATATGAATCTCAAGATATCCTTAATAGTGTCAATAAATATAAAAATTTTTAATTTAAATAAGTGAAAAAAATAGAAACAGAGATGGAATTATTGAAGACAGGTCAGCCGGATCTTTCAGGGTTGTGATACTTTGGTGGAACTGCTATGAAAATAAGAGTTTCAGGTCTAGGAATTCCATGTTATTAATATACTCAGCAATTTTTAAGGATTAAGAAATTCTTTTTATCCTAACATGAAGAAGACGTTCTCCTGATGTTCTTCTAACATCTTAGAGTTTTGGCTTTCACCTGGAGGTCTCTAAGCATCTTAAATCAACTTTTTAAAAAATCTAGTGTGAGGTATTTTTATTTAAGCAGCACATCTTTTCATTTGTTTGCCACCTTTTGATTTGTTTATTTGGTGAAATGTCTCTTCATGTCTTTTGCCCATGTTCAAATAAGATTGTTAGCAGTTTAAGGGTTGCTTTTTGAGAGTTCTTAAAAATATATCCTACAGACTAGTCCTGTGTCAGATATGTTGTTTTCAAATATTTTCTCCTTACTTGTAGCTTATCTTTTCCTTCCCTTAACAGGGTCATCTGCACAGCAAAATTTTTTTGTTTTGTTGAATCCGGCTTATCAATTTTTCCTTCTATGAACCTTAGTTTTAGTGTCAAGTCTAAGAATTCTGCCTAACACTAGATCCCAAAGATTTTCATCTATTTTTATAAAAGTTTTGTAGTTTTACATTGTGTATTTAAGTCTGTGATCCATTTGGTGTTCATTTTTGTATAAGGTATGAGATTTATGTTTATGTTTATTTATTTTTTGCCTGTGGATGTCCAGTTGCTCTGGCACCATTTGTTGAAAAGCCTCTAGTTTCTCCATTGAATTGCCTTTGCACTTTTGTCAAAAACCATCTGGGCATATATGTGTGGGCCTGTTTCCCAGTTCACTTTCTGATCCAGTGATTTACGTGTCTGTCCCTTTGCCAGTAGATGCCGTCTGGATTACTGTAGCTGTGTAATAGGTCTTGAAGTTGGGTAGACTGATTTCTGTCACGTGATTCTTTTTCAAAATTGTTTTTAGCTATTCTAATTACTTTGCTTTTCCATATAAATTTTAGAATAACCTTGTCTGTGTTTACAAAAAAATCTTGCTGAAATTATGATAGGCGTTGTGTTAAACCTTGTGTTAGTATGTCGAGTCTCTTAATCCATGGACATGGTATGACTCTCCATTTATTTAGATCTTTGATTTCTTTCATCTTTTTTGTTGTTTTTCAATATAAAAGTACTATGTATATTTTGTTGGATATACACATACATATTTCACTTTGTCATTTGTGAATGGTAGTGTGCTTTTAATTTTGGTGTCTCTGTGTTCATGTTCATTACTAGTATAGACGTACAATTGATTTTTGCGTTTACCTGGGTACTGTGACCTTGCTGCACTGAGAGGGTTTTTTTGGAGGATGGTGGGGATAGATTGCTTGGGATTTTCTGTGTAGACTGTCGGGTCACTTGTAAATAGGGACAGTTTTATTTCTCTTTATTTGATCTGTTTGCCTCTTATTTCCTTTTCTTTTCCTATTGCATTGGCTAGAACTTCCAGTACTATATTGAGAGAGAATAAAGAGAGCTGGCATCCACATCTGTTCCTAATTTTAGCAGGAAAGCATTCAGTTTTCAAACAGTAAAATAGTTTTCATCTGTTTACTTCAACCTACCAATATTGCCATATTTGAAGTTAATGTCTTATTGACAGCATATAGTTGAGTAATGTTTTTTAATTCACTCTGTCTCATTTCTTCAGTTGGTAATTTAATGTAATTATTGATATTTGAAGCTAATATCTGCTATTTTATATTTTGTTTTATATATATTCTATTTTTTGTTTTTCTGTTTTTTTCCTGCTGCCTGTGGTTTACTTGAATATTTTAGAGTTCCAGCATGATTAATCTATAGTGTTATTTTGAGTATATAGCTTTTTTAGTATTTGCTCTAGGTATTACATTATCTATACACAATTTATCAGTGTTACTGGTGTTGACATTTTATCAATTTGAATGAAGTGTAGAAAATTCACCTGTTTTTATGTCCCTTTGCCCCTCCCATTTCCCCTGTTCATAATATTGTATAAATATTTCCTCTACATACATTTCAAACAGCAGTGTTATAGTTTTTCTTCAGTCATTAAACATAACAATACAAGCATAACAGAAATAGAATTAAAATGTATTTGCCCATATTTTTACTGTTAACATTTTAATTTCTTCCTTTTTGCTGTTCCTAGGTGTCTTTTATTATTTCATGTTTATTTAGAGAACTTCCTTTAGCTATTCTTTTATGGCAAATATACTGGTGACAAATTCTGTTAGTTTTTTGTCATCTAAGAATGGTTCGATTTTTCCCTTCATTCCTGAAGAACATTCTTACTACACATAGAATTCTGTATTAATGGTTCTTATTTTCAGCATGTAAAAAAATATTGTGCTTCCCGCTGGACTCCATGGTTTCTTATGATTTGTCTGCTGCCATTGAAATTGTTTGCCTCCTATATGTAAGATATTATTTTTCTCTTGCTTCTTTTAAGACATTTTCTCCCTTGTCTTTAGTTTTTAAGAGTTTGATTATGATGTGTCTTGGTATAGAGTTTTTAAAATTTATTCTTTGCTGGATTCATTAAACTTCTTGAATCTGTATTCTTTTGTCTCCTGCCAAAAAAAGACTTTGGGGAAGTCGTCATCCATTATTTATTATAGTTCTTTAGAAGTCCTTTTCTCTTTTTCCTCTCCTTCTGGGACTCCACTGACACAATTATTAGATCCCTAAAGCTCTGTGTGATTTGTTGATACTGTTATCTGTTTGTTATTTATTTCTAGTGTCTTTTCTTTCTGTTGTTCAGATTGGGTAATTACTATGTTCCATCTTCAAGTTCACTGATTCCTTCCTCTGCTTTTTCCATTCTGGTGTTGAGCCCAACCGTTGAGTTTTATTTTGGTTATTTTATTTTTTAGTTCTAAGTTTCTATTTGGTTCTTTCTTATATCTTACATTTCTTTCTGAGACTTTTTTTTTTCTCATTTGTTTTGAGCACCTTTCCAATTATTTGTTGAAGCACTTTATGATGGCTGCTTTAAAATCCTTGTTAGATTATTTTAATGTTCTCATCTTGGGTTTGGCATCTGGTAATTGTCTTTTCTCATTTAAGTTAAGGTCATTCTGATTATTGGTATGACAAATGATTTTTTTATTAAAATCTGGACATTTTGGGTATTATGAGACTCTGGATCTTATTTATACATTGTTTTAGCTGGCTTTCACTGATTTCAGCAGTATAGGAAGGAGTGCCATGTCATTATGAATATAGAAGTCTAGGTTACCCAGTCTTCTCCAATTGACACCTGAGGCAGGAAGAGGCTACTTGGTCGACAAGAGTTGGAGTTCCAGATCCCATTAGGCCCTCATTAATACTACTTTGCTTTTCAGTTGGCCTCCACTGTTACTGTGGAGGGCGGTGAAAGTCATCACTCTCCACTAGGCCTCCTCAAACACTATCTCAGCAAGGAGGGGTGGATCATCTTCTTACTGCTATGGGTGGTAAGTTCAAGCTATCCTATGGGGTCCCCACTGTGGCTTGTTATTTCACTATGGTGATAAAAGTCCAAGTTCTCAGGACTCACCTTCTCTAACACCAACCCCTAGAGGGGTCGTTTTACCTTGTTAAAGCTTGATGATGGTAGAAATCTGGACTCCCCATTTTGCCTTTGCTGGCATGGGAGGAGGTGTGGCCATAGTTTTTTTCGATTGTGTTTGGCTCTAATAGAACACTTATTGTCTAGAAATTTTCTGTCTTGCCATTGTGTTCTTTTTCTCATCATTTAAGTAGAGAAAGAAGGATTTTGTTGAGTTTTTGTTGTCTAAACCTATTGGTATTTCTGAGTTGCTGTTTTCTTTTTTAAAAAAATTATAGTTGAGATACAATATTATATTAGTTTCAGGCATATAACATAGTGATCTGACATTTATGTATCTTACAAAGTGATCATCACAAGTCTTGTAACCTTCCATCACAGCACAGTTATTACGATATTATTGACTATATTTCCTATGCTATCCATTAGGTCCATATGATTTATTTGTTTTATAACTGGAAATTTGTACCTCTTAATTCCCTTCACCTTATTCACCCATCCCCTGCTTCCCTCCCATCTTGAGTTGCTCTTTTCTTTAGCTCTAAGTCTGAGATATGTGACTCAAAAAGAAAACCCAGAAAACTTACCATCGTATTCTCCCTTGGGTTTCAAGGTTCTCTGTGATTGGCCTTCTTCTTTCCACATTTCTGAATCTTATGTTTGTTTTTTATATAATGTGCAACCTTTTTAGTTGTACTTACCAGGAACAATAGTAAAATGTAGACCTATGCTATCTTCCTGGAAGTGGAAGTTCTCTCAATTGATTTTTTAATTTATATTTACCTTTAACCCAGCCATTTTCTAAGCTCACTTTTTTTGTTTTGTAGGTTCTTTACAGTATTTTATGAATATGATAATGTTGTATGGAGGAAAGACACTCTTTCCAATCTCTGTGTCTTTTATTTCTTTTCTTGACTCATTGTACTGTCTAGGATATGTGCTACAATGGCAAATAAAAATGGTTACAGTGAATATTCTTGTCTTGTTCCCAACTAAGGAAAATGCATTAAGTTTTTTATTATCAAATGCGATAGCCTTTTAGAAGCAGTTTACATGAAATTCCCTTTTATTTCTACTTTGTTGAAATAATTTTTAATTTTTTTTATTAAGGATGGGTATTGAATTTTAGCACATGATTCCTATATGCATATTGAGATGATCATATTTTTAATTTTATTCTTAACTATTGTGGGTCACAGTGATTAATTTCAAGTGTTAAATCAGCATTCCTAGGATAAATTTCTCTTGATCATTGTGTATTATCCTTTTAAAAATATTGCTGGAATTTTCTTTTCTTGTAGTGTCCTTGCCTGGTTTTGGTATCAGGGTAATGCTGGTTTCATAAAATGACTTTGGAAGTGTTTCCTTCTCTTCTTTTTTTAACAGTTTGAGCAGATTGTTATTAATTCTTTAAATGTTTTGTAAATTCATGAGTGAAGCCTTCTGGTCTTGAACTTCTGCTTGTTGGGAGGTGTTTGATTACTGAATCAATATCCTTAACTAGTAATGGGTCTGTTTAGTTTTTTATAATTTCTTCATGTTTCAGTCTTGGTAAATTGTATATTTCTAGAAACTTATCTGTCTCTTCTACATTGTCCAATTTGTTGGTGTACAATTATTATAGTAGTTTATTATGATCCTTTGTGTTTCTGTGCTATCATTTGTAATGCCTATTTGATTTTTGATTTTGAGTTGTCTCTCTTTCTTGGCGAGTCTAGCTAAAGGTTTGTAAATTTTGATTATCTTTTCAAAAAAAGCTCTTAGTTTCATTAATCTTTTTTACTTTTAAAAAATTTGTGATGTATAATTGACATACAACATTATATTAGTTTCAAGTGTACAACATAATGATTTGATATTTGTATGTATTATAAATTATAACCAATGTAAGTCTAGTTAACATTCATCACCATGCACAGTTACAGGATTTTTTTTCTTGGATTTCAGAGAAAGGAAGGGAGAGGGAGAGAGAGATAGAAACATCAGTGATGAGGGAGTTGCATTGATTGGCTGCCTCCTGCATGCCCCCTACTGGGGATCGAGCCTGAAACCTGGACATTTGTCCTGACTGGGAATCGAACTGTGACCTCCTGGTTCATAGGTTGATGCTCAACCATGAGCCACGCCAGCTGGGCATGATGAGAACTCTTAAGATATATGCTCTTAGCAGTTTTCAAATATGCAATAAAGTATTATAGTCACCAAGCTGTACATTACAGCTCCATGACTTACTTGTTTTACACTAGAAGTTTGTACCTTTGATACCCATTTTACCCACCCTCATTTCCTATCTCTGGCAACCACTAATCTATTCTCTGAATCTATGAGCTTGTTTTTTTCCTTAATATTTCATTTGTAAGTGTGATCATATGTACTTGCCTACCTCTGATTTCATGTAGCGTAATGTGCTCAAGGTCTACCCATGTTGCAAATAACAAAATTACATTCTTTTTATTGCTGAATAATAATACTGTGTGTGTGTGTGTGTGTGTGTGTGTGTGTATCTCACATATTCTTTATCCATTCATCCATTGAAGGACACTTAGATTGTTTCCATATCTTGGTTATTGTAAGTAATGCTGCAGTGGACATGGGAGTGCATATATCTTTTGAGTGTTTTCACTTTTTTTCGATAAATACCCAGAAGTGGATGGCTGGATTATATGGTAGTTCTAGTTTGAATTTTTGAGGAGCCTTCGTACTGTTTTCCCTAGTGGCTGCATCAACTTACATTCCCACAAGGTTTCCCTTTTCTCCACATCCTTGCCAGCATTTATCTCTTGTCTTTTTTATAATTACCATTCTAAGAGGTGTGAGGTGATATCTCATTGTGGTTTTAATTTGCATTTTCCTGATGGTTAATGATTCTTAGCTCCTTTTCATGTACCTGTTGGCTATCTGTATGTCTTCTTTGGGGAAAAAAATGTCTGTTAAGATCCTCTGTCCATATTTTAATTAGATTTTTTTGGGCTATTGTGTTATATGAGTTTTTAAAATATATTTTGGATATTAATCCCTTATCAGATACATGATTTCCAAATATTTTCTCCCACTCAGCAGGTTCATTTTGTTGATTTTTTTTCTTTCTGTGCACAAACCTTTAGTTTGATGTAGTCCTACTTGTTTATTTTTGCTTTTGTTGCTTGTGCTTCTGGTGTTAAATCCAAAACATCATCACTGAGACCAGTGTCAAGGCCCTTACCCCCTATGCTTTCTTCTAGGAGTTCTATGGTTTCAGGTTTAATTCACTTTGAGTTGATTTTTGTGTATGGTGTGAGATAGTAATCCAGTTTTATTGTCTTGCATGTGACTGCCTACTTTTCCCAGCACCTTTAACTGAAAGACTGTCCTTTACCCCATTGTATATTCACAACTTCTTTGGATTTATGTAAATTAATTGTCCATACCTGTGTGGGTTTGTTTCTGGACTCTATTCTGCTCCATTGATATATTGTCTGTTTTTAATGCCAATACCATACTGTTTTGATTATGATAGTTTTGTAATGCATTTGAAATCAGGAAACATTATGCCTTCAGCTTTGTTGTTCTTTCTCAAGATTGCTTTGGCTGTTTAGGGTCTTTTATGGTTCCATGCAGTTTGTAGGGTTGTTTGTTCTATTTCTGTGAAAAATGTAATTGGAGTTTTGAGAGGGATTGCACTGCATCTGTAGATTGCTTTGCATAATATGGACATTTAAGCAATATTAATTCTTCCAATCCCTGAGCACAGAATATATTTCCATTTCTTTGTGTCTTCTTCAATTTCTTTCATCAGTGTCTTATAGATTTTAGTGTACACGTTTTTCACCTCCTTAGTTAAATTTATTCCTAGATATTTTATTCTTTTGTATTCTTCAACTTTACTGAATTTGTTTATTAGTTCCGATAGTATTTTAGTGGAGTTTTTAGGATTTTCTATATATAATATCATGTCATCTGCAAATACTGCAAATTTCTTTTTTCTGCCTAACTGCTCTAGGACTTCCACTACTGTGTTGAATAGAAGTGGTGAGAGTGTGTGTCCTTCTCTTGTTCTTGATCTTAGAGGAATACTGCCTATCATTCAATATTTGAAAATAGTTGTGTCATATATTTTTGTTAAATTTCCTAGTTATTTATACTATGAGAATAATTATGAGCCTTCTTTCTCTAACATGACCAGAACAGAAGCATACTCTCTCCCTTGTGTGCGTGCTCTCTCTCTCTCCTTTTCCTTTCCTTTCTTTTAAAATTTTTAATTCTTCCTTTTAGCATTGTTATATACTAGTGAAGTATTGTCAATTAATACTTTATGCCATGCATTGCTTCTATTTTATGTTTTTTTCCTAAAGGGCTGACTGCAAGATATGTGCATGTTTATGTTGATTGATGGGTTTCACTTTAAATAATTAGGTAGGTTAGGGTTTCTCAATGAAGTCCCCTACAGTGGGGTGCCAGCCCATATCCCAGACTCCTTAGTACTTCCTAAGCAGATAACTCAGTTTCTGTAAAGACAGTTATGTAGAAATTAGTTCTTCGTTTTCAGAATAGTTGTAAATGTTTTGTATGTGTGGAGATGGGGAAGTTGGGAGGGCCAACTGGTTCAGGCATTCCTTTTCAATCCTTAGATTTATTTTGCCAAATAATGTCTAGCATTCCATTCTCTGCTCCATACTTGCCCCATCTGTGCTTGGAGCCTCCTAGGAACTTTACCAAGAAGATCATATTTATCTTTGTATAGTCTTTTCCTAGAAGCGTTCTGGGCTACAGTTTCCTCTGGTTTGATTTATCCGTTAATATAATTTCATCTTCTGTCTTTTAGAAATGTATCATTATTACTCTTTGCTCATGGCTATATATCCCATTCTCAGCTTTTCTAATGACTTATTCCTTTTAGTATCTCTATCATTTCCATAGAGTTTGGGGAGAGAGGGGAATGCAAAATACATATGTCCATGCTATCATTTTGAATTGGATGCCTCTTTGGAAAATGCTATGACAAATTTTGTGACAATCACTACATTATTAAAAATTTCAATTAACTTTTTAGTGAATAAAAAACCTTACCAAATCTTCAAGCCTTAATTTCTATTGGGGGAATAAATAACAATGTTGATGCAAATTGCTTAGAAATGAACCAAGGCCAATGAATGATTCAGATTATTTAAGCACCATTTGGTGAATGAGTCTGTTTGCTTGTTTAATATTTTGCTTCGGATGCTTTAAAATCAACTTTAAAAAAATGCTTGAACTCTATAGACAAAAGTAAGATCACAGACTAAGAATTATACCTTTACTTCACGATTGAATTTGATTATATACCTATAGTAAAGTAGACAAATTAGAGTTTATTGTTATATTTGCGGCTGTGTTATCAATTTTTCTCATAGGTACAAGAGTAAACCTGCTGATGACTATGAAGACCCCAAAGATGTTCAAGCCATCAAAGAGGCTCAGGTGTATATGGGAGATTTCAATCTGAAGACAGCCCCAGACTATAAGATACCTGAGCACATGAGAATAAATGCTGCCAAGAAAGAAGAGGAACTGGGACATCTAGACACTATGGTACTTACCCACAGCTTGTACAACAGTGAGAGGCACCTGGGTTTTTAATTGAATTCTGCTAAACCCCCATTTCACTATCAGGTCCATAATGATATGTAGTTATAGAAATTTAGAACTGTAAAAGACCTTCATGTTTATATAGGCCTCAGTTCCCTCATTTGTAGAAAGGGGGCATTTTTCTAGGTAATCATGAAAAATATTGTTGGAAGTTTCCTCACCCTAGGATATTTTCCCATTGCTTTTCAGAGAGAGTGGAAGGGGAGGGAGAGAGAGAGAGAGAGAGAGATATCTAGATACATTGATGGGAGAGAGACACATCCATTGGTTGCCCCCCACATGTGCCCTGACTAGGGCAGGGGATCAAGCCTGCAACCGAGGTATGTGACCCTGGCTGGAATCAAACCCAGGACCCTTCAGTCTGCAGGCTGACCCTTTAACCACTGAGCCAAACTGGCTAGGGCTACTTTTCCTTATCAGATAAGTTACTTATCTACATTTCATAAAGGTGTGTGTGTGTTTTCTGGGCCTTAACTTGCTTTTTCATTTGGAACATATGCTCTATTTCCTTATTTTGCTTGCCTCTCTGTGTTTCTGTGTATTAGGCAAACCACTACCTCTCCCGGGCTCAAAGGATTGGCTTTGTATAAGCAGTGTACTTAGTGTTCAACCTTGCCCGACCTCTTCGCTGTCTCTCAAACCTTGTGATTGTCTAAGTAGCCTGATTTATTCCTGATGGGTCCCAGTTGTCGATATGTCCCAGGTAGTAAATATACAGGTTTAAGTTTTGTGTGCCTTTTGTCTTTTATTTTTTTAAATCTGTGTGTATTTATGCAAAGTAAATCTTAATAGTCTTTGGGCCATCTAGTTGCCTAACTGCACACAGGAGCAGGGTTGCATGGACCCATAGGTTCTGGTAAGGGCATTTGGGAAACATAGACAAGGGAAAAAGCTGGTAATGAGGGAGACATGGTCCTATATGGCACCCATGGGTGGAGGCAGGGAGCACAGCTTGGCTCAGATAAATGGAGAAAGAAATAAGGAAGAATCCTGGAATCTCTTGGTGTGATATGATACTGAAATTCAGGATCATTACCCTGCCTGCACAAGGAGTAACATGTGGCCAAAATACAGAATGTAAATAGGTGAAATTATAGTTTGGCCCTAGGTAGGCAATCCTAAGTGAGTCTAAGCCAATGATATTTCAGTTTCCACCAGAAAAGGACAGTTATTTGTGTTTTTCTGACCAAAGAATGACCTTCCCCTTCCTGGGACCTGGCTGAGTACAAGGCGTCAGGAAGAACTTCCATTGAGGGGTGGGAGGGGAGAACAAGGGAACTCAGCCCTGTGAGCCAGCTGAGGGTTACCACAGGTTATACCCAGAAAGTCTCCCCCTTTTGGAGAGGCTAAATGGGGGAAAGCCTAAAAGCTAGAGAAAAGAGTAATTTAGTAGCGATCAAGAATGGTCGGATGAATTTTTATCTCGAATATCTGTTAGACATGCCAGTCAAGGGACAAAAGCAAATCCTCTTTGAAACTGTCCTTTGTGAGTGGGTTGTCATTTTGCTTCCTTTCTGTTCTTTTTATCAGACCCATTCAAAGAAAATGCACTTGAATAGGAGCGTCGTCTCTCTTCGAGACCTTAAGGTGGCTGTCATCGAGGAGATCCAGTGCCTGGTGCAAGAACTGAAGAACATCCAGGCAACCCTTCCCCTCTCCAAGCGCATCCCCATCCCAGAGGTCCCGCAGATTCACCCGGAGGAGGTTCCCGAAAAGAGATTTCACTACGACGAGGAGATTCTCCTCGCCTTCAAGCAACAGCAGGTGAAAACTAAGGGTAAAGAGGCCCATTCAGTGGAGCAGACAGAGTCTACAAGCGCAGGCGGAGAATTCCTCAGACCCCCTTACAGGAAGAGCGGGCACTTGACAACACGAGATTCATTGGCTAGATCGTCAAAGGCGTCGGCATTCGGGATAGATGTCCCAAAGTTCATGGAATTTGAAAAAGCAGAACCCATCGATGTAGAGGTGGAGATTATGAAGAGAAATGAGATTAAAAACGTCTACATGCAGCAGTATTTGACCAACAGGGTAAGGGTTGAGACTGTGCCTATTTAAAGCTGAAAGAGAACGGAGCAGGGAAGTCGATCTGGTTTCTTTCTTTATTCAAGAATTTTCTACATTAACCTTCCCCAGCCCCTGCCCAGCCCACAACTCACTAATGGGTTGGCTTCCTTCCCCACCCCTGTTTTTCTGAAAATCCATGTGTCCTGCCCAGAACTTTGGAGCTTTGTAACTCCTTCCTTTTTGGAAAGCTGACCGAGCGTTGGGGGGAAACCCATGTTAGTCGGCCTCTAACAGAAGCCATGGTAAAGGCGAAGTGACGGAGCAGCTTTCTCAGGGTGCACGGGACATAATAAACCCTTCCAGAGAAAATGGGCCACCCTCTACCTTCTGTGCTCTCCCCTTTCTCTAACACGCTGCTTGCTCTAGTAGTGGCGGTATTCATGGTGATGAACGGCTTCAAAATAGTTCTGGAGCTAGAATGCCAACTATTTTTATTTCTAGGAAAATCAGGACCAGACTGGGACAAGTTGTGCAGGAGGTGCTCTGAATATAGAAGGCAAAGGACCTTTCCTGGGTCGATAGCTCCCTGCCAGCAGCTGTGCAGGGCCCTTTTCCTCGCTGTGTCTTTTCCAGCCGGGCACCCCTGTAGCTTTCCAGCCTCCTTCAGCCATCATCTCTCCCTCAGCCAGCCCAGTATCCGCGCGCTCCCGCTGCCTCCCAGTCCCGAGTTTCACACCTGGGCTTTTTCCTTTGCCGCTTCCTTCTGCCTGCAGTGACTTCCCCCAGAGTTGTCATCGTTCAGAACGCGGCCCGGTTCCAAACCGCTTCCGAGTCTTCTGTCCACGTCACATACTCTCTCTTTTTAAAAAACTTCAGTTGCACCTGTTATCAGCACATCCTGGTTTGTACTTAGTTTGTTTGCTGGTGTGTTTGTGTGTGTGTGTGTGTGTTGTCTTGCAAATTAGGTTACACAGTTCTTTAGGGAAGGTACATAAGCTTCTTCTGATTCCCCTGTAGTGTCTGGGACAGTGCCAGACATGTAGTGTAGATATTCAGTAAAACGTTTTGATTTAATTGACTAATTTACTTCATTGATTAAAAAATATTTCTTGGACATTCTGTGAGTTCGGACAGCGCTTGCTGGGTAGCAGCGATGTGCCGGTACTCGGGTCAGACGCCTTCTCTGTCCTCATAAAGCTTGTGTAGGCTGTCGGGGGAGGAGAGGCTAGAACAAGTGAGGAAACCCTCACAGACTCGGACACCTATGTGGTAAGTTTCAGAATGCTGTTGTAGGAAAAATATATAGTCCTGCCTCCAAACAGATTTTAAAATAATTCAAATTTGTCGAACAAACTTTTTTGGGGGGAACCTACTTAGTCTGTAGCCCTATATAAAGTTTACTTTTTTTGGTTTCCTTGGTTTTCTTTCATTTGTTTTTAAGTGATGGGAAATTCTCCAGCAGTCTTATTGCCCCAAACCCACAGCTCTCTCTGCCTTTCCCAGCACCAGTCTGGGCCCTCACGCATGATAGGCATTTGAGAGTTGAGGCCCCACCATGTATGGCCTACTGATGTCTTGGTGGAATGGCTTGTCTTCTTCCTATTGCACAAGTTTCCTCAGGAGAATCGGCCCCTGAGGCTCTCTCCTGATCTCTTCATCTCCTTTGGGGTTGGGTGGGGGAGAAGCTGTGCCAAAATCAGAGGAAAACAGGATTTAAAATCTTTAGGACTTCAGATGAGTAAGGTCTAGACCAGGACTTGGGATTCTTATTCCAGCTCTGTGACAAATTAGATCTCAGGAAAATCACCGTTAGCCTCAATTTCTTCATTTCCACAGTAAGAAGATTGGAACAGGTTTCTTGTGGGTCCATGATTATATTTATTTGAAAATATTTACTGTTCAGTAGGTTTGAAAATTTTCAAAATAAGTTGAGGTAAATATTTATGTAAAAATACCGTGGGAGTATGATGGAGGAGAATAAAACACTACCCACAAAGAGCTCATGGTCTCTGATATATACCAGTCAGTAATGGCTTTTTCGATAGTAGAGAAATAGCTGGAAGAACTGTGGTTACAGAATTTCTACCACTTAATGAATAAGTTAATTTATGTACATTTAAGATCACTGATGAATGATTTATATGACTAGACACCAACCCACACACCCACATAATTCTCCATCCATAACAAGGGCATAATGAGAAAATGCTTTTACCCGCACAAATTCGTATTGCCAGGTAGTTTGAAAAATACACTGATCTGTTCTTAACTGCTAACATACCCTCAAATCTTTTTCCACCTCAGATCAAAGAACTGATTGTCACGTTTGATGCAGAACTCCGCATCCTGAGACATCAGAAACTGAAACTAGATATCCAGATGAAATTATCTGACCTGAACCATGTCACATTATTTCAAGAAATGCTTCTCCTCAAGAATTTTGAAAAACAGGAGAACATACTTCAAGAGAGTGTGAATTCCTTAGACAAAGAGGAGCAGGACATGCAAGTATGAAAGGGCAGGAAGATGCCAGCTGGGTGCACCCTTAGTTATGGAGGGAACTCGGTTCTTTTCTTTTCTTTTCTTTTCTTTTCTT